CTTCACAACAACCAGCGAAGTAAGACAATGCTTCTGGGGCACACACACTGTCCTCCAGCTCCGGCAACTTCTCAGGGATCACACAGTTCGGAAGTCACTGCTGAAGGACTACCCCCCAAAACACTATACCATCAAATGTCTAGGGACCCCAAACATTCTCGGCAGACTGAGATTTTTGCAGGAAGTAAGCTTCCTGCTGAGAGTGTGGGTCACTTTATTGACTTAGTGCCTGGGGAGGGGGAGGCATCTTCATCATCATCTTCCTCTTCCTGTTGTGGCCTGAACCTTCCTGACTACGAAGATCTGCCCCCCAGGCGCTGCACAACCCCAGCCAAGCATGTGGCAAAGCGGCCCGTGCTGGCTGCCCTCAGCCTTGGGAAGCCGCCTGTGACCCTAGCAGGGGCCTGGATTCCAGCCCAGCTTGTGCCTCCCTCCCCCCTCCCCGCGGCTTGTGCTCTCTGTAGCATCATTAGGATCTCAACGCACAGATGAGCATTCCAGACACCAGGTCCAAGGGAGCAAACGTGCTGGAGGGCAAAGCAGGGAAGGGTTTCGGGAGGGCTTTGTTTTCTTTTCCAGCGTGGCCTTTTCTACACTAACATACTTTTCACACATACAAGTCACTTCAGTTTATTTGTCCAGCCCACCGGGGGAGCCAGGGTGGTGTTCTGGTTACCTCCTGGTCCACAGGGGCACAGGCCCCCCGCGGGGAGGGGAAATGAAGGCCATCTCCAAGAGGCCTCTGCATGCACGTGGCCCCTTTCATCTCCTGCCTGTGATCTCCAGCCTATCCCCAGAGGGATCTTCTAACCCCAGGAATGGTCAAGAGGGTTGGCCCCACAAACGGAATGAGGGATGAAGGCCTTGCTGTGCTCCACTGGCACTCAAACGTAGCCCCGGGGGGCTGCTCAGCCGGGGAGCCGCTCTCACTTAGAAAATGCCACCAGCAGAACCAGGTTATAGGGCCTCCAACCCACCCTGGGAGGAAGCCCAGGCCCCAGCATCCAGCTCTACTCCAGGCCGGCAGTACTCTCTGCCGCACTGCTCCACACCCACTCGTGCAGCTTAACTCAAGGTCATCTTAGACAACAGGAGCAGCAAGTGGCAGTGCACTTTGACCCAAGACCCCGGCTACAGAGTTCGTATTGTCAACCACTGGTCACTCTTGCCATATTAGGGTCTCTGAGGGTGTTTGTAACAGGAATGTGTAATCTCTGAAGTTACTGCTTTTGATGTTCTTGTTCAATTTAAGCTTTTCAGATCCCTACGACATGTAAATACTAAGGGAAGATTGTGATCATTTTTTGCTTGAACACAAATTAATTTTTGTATTGGTCTTTTAAGGACTACAGGTTTCTACAGGAAAACGAAATTTACAAAGAACAAGCACCACAATAAAACGACCAGGGAACAGGTTCACATAAGAATCTCTCCTAAGAGCAGGCATCAAGTCGAGCACTTCAGACACCTGTTACAGGCTCTGTGCCCATGTTCCCCCCTCGGTCCCTGAGCGGTTACAGGCTCTGCGTTTGTGTCTCCAGCTCTCGGAGGCAGCAGTGACAGTTCAAGCAGATGGCTCCCTGCCACCCTGTGCCTAGGAGAAGTTCTCAGACACAGTCAGTCCATCACAGCTATTTCAGAAGTGGATCAGATGGTAGTCTGCCTGCTTTCGTCTCTAAAAGCAAACCTACAATGTACGTGGGATCCCAGGTTGAACTGCTAATTCTATTAGGCTCTTTAGAATTCAGTTCTTACTATTTTTAATGCTCAGATATAACCACTGATTTAAATTAAAAAAAAAACAACTCCATATTTTCCTAGGACTCCAGAAAAGACCATCATCTGATTTTTCTCTAGAAGGTGCATCAAGTGGATAAAGCCACAAAGCTCAATTCAGTTGGCCATTAATCCATTGGTCTGGATTGTCTCAAGAATTCATAAAATAAAATCAGTAATTTATAATATCTAATACGTACCTTAGAAAGAGAAAACCCTGACAAGGAAAATTTTAAATATTTCATTTAGGTTGGTTTCTCAGTTCAGGAATCTGTTTATATGCCATTGTGTAAATGAATAATAATGGGTGCCCACCGTGGAAGCCTAGAGGCTAAAATCCTTTCCTTGTACACAATGGGATCCCATGTGGGCCCTGGTTTGTGTCCCAGCACCCTCACTTCCTATCCATTTTTGAAATTAAACTTAGTATATTTCTTAAATACTCAACATATATCATAAATTCTTGACATGAACCACTTGTACTTGGCATGTATCATGCACCATTCACATTTATATTCTTGACATATATAAAACACACCTGACAGATATCATGCCCACATTATATATTTATATGTATCTCATATACTTGACATAAATCATACTTGTTTTATACCACACATTGAGACATATGTACACACTTGACACACATACTCCACACAGATCACACACACTTCACTTGTAACCAAGACTCAGTGAAACTGCTTCCATGCCAATGCTTTTCCTATCCCCGAACCAGCACACACTGTAACAGAATGACTGCACCATTCCTGTGCTCTGAAACCTCCTCCTCGGACTGTCACCCGCGAAGCAGCGTCGGTGTCCTGCACAGGGCCTGACTCCTGGGCGCCCAGTCCACAGACTGGATGTATTTAATATGGTACGGCTGGGTAGATGGGTGGAAGAAGGCGATTCTCATATTCTGAACTTCACCTACTGTGTAGACCCCGGCTCACTGGCCTCAGTTCCCGCACTTGAACTCACTATTTGGAGTTCACAAAGTCTTCTCTATTTACCTTGACCGTCGTTGGAAGCAAGAACTGCATGCTTGTTCTGACTACTTTACTTTGAGCTCATTAACTTGTCTTTTAAGAAACAGAAACTTAGATGTTTGTTCTTATATTTCATATTCTTAAAGGTTTCCTTCAACGTATGCGTCAGCTTCTTCCTTCCTTTTTTACTAGTGACCTTAACAGTAAACATGCAACAGGCAGTAGGGACGTCTAAGTATACAAGCTCGCCCCCCAAGCCTCACCAATGTCTGATGCAGCGTGCACTCTCAGAGCTGAGGAAAGGTGAGGACAGAAGGACGCAAGAGGACAAGCAGCCTGCCTAGGGCTGTGAGCAGGACTGAACCCCGAGCCATCTCTATTCAAGGGCTGGGGCTTCTGGACGAGACGCTCTTAACGCCTGGGTCCGTGGATATTTTTCCGCAAATACTGTGGACAATGTACTTCAAAGAAAACTGTCTCAGAAGGGGATCATATGAGCCCACGAGAAGGCTATGCAGGGACACACTGTGCTTTGTGGGTGGGTGCCGGGCAGCTGGGAGGCAGCTTGAAGTCCTAAAGGCAGGCAGAGCCCCTCTCTCAAGCTCCGCAGCAAAGGGCAGTTGACAAACACACATGGGCGGCACCATTTCTGCTTCTCTGAACAATTTCCTTCTGCCAAACTTAGCTTCCTTTTGCATCCCATGGACAGAGAGCCAGCAGGTGCACTCAAGAGAATGTCAACCATCGACACACCTTGGGTACCTCCCCACAGCACACTCTGATGTCTTTCAGACACCAGTCTCTGTTTAGCCAGTCGTTAACTTCCGTATTCAAGAGAGCTGAGACTGGAGTTGGCAGACTTGGTCGGTATTCAAGCATTCCCCATTTCCAAGCATAAAGATCTTTGGATAATTTTTTTCCATAAATGTCCCAAGGTGACTAGTGGCTCAGTCAGCAAGAATGGATTCCCACTGGCTGAATTCAGATCCCTAAGAGTTGCTGGCTCACCAGTGGTCCTGCGTTGTCATGGACTTACTTCCACAATTCATTTATTCATTTTGAAACAGTTGCAGAGAGACCGAAGTAGACAGAGAGAGCCTCCCCTCCTGGTTCACTCCCCAGATGGCCACGGCAGCCAGGACTGGACTGGGCTGAAGCCAGCAGACTCATTCAGACCTCTCACAAGGATGAGGGGACTCATGCACTTGGGCCATCCCCAGCTGTCATTCCCTTGCCACCAGCTTGGAGCTGGGTTGGAAGTGGAGCTCGAGGACATGAAGCAGAGACCATGAGAGATGTTGACGTCACAGGCAGCAGCTTTATCTGCTATGCCAAGTTGGCCCAAACTTAGCCTGGACACCTTGTAAGATGAGTGAGGAGAAGGGGACAAAGAAGATAAGGCAGTGCAACATCGGCTATCTCAGATGTGCCACCGGAGTACACACAGTTATGAATTCTTCCTAGTGGCTTTCTTGGCATTTACAGGCATGGAAAAACTAACATACAAATGGGCAGCTCAAACAAAAAGAGCTGGCCTTCACAACCTACCTGAGAATACACCAGAGTTCATGGACTAAGTCACATTTGCAGGAGCCGTGCCGACTTCCCAAGCAGGTACACACTCAGCCACTTGCTTCCCTTCACGATTGTACTGGTGAAACAATTCCGTAGGCAGTGTTTGTTTCCAAGTAAGGTAAAACAAAGAACAAAATATTTTTCAAAACTAGATGAATGATTATTGCAGAAATCATCATTATTGCAGATAATAGAAATATAGCAAAACATTAATATAATAATATGCTTATAAAGCCTGCCCACATCCTCTCATATTAGATTGAGCCATTGCATTAAAAGTACAAGTCATTTTCAGTAACTTTTAACTCATTACTAAAGTATTGCATGTTCAGCATAGAAAATCAGGGAACACATTTAAGCGTATGGATGAAAAAAAATACATTTCCTAATCCTATCAAGAAGGATGAGAAGGCCCAACATGATGGCTCAATGGCTAAATTCTCACCTTGCATGAACCAGGATCCCATATGGGCGCCAGTTTGTGTCCCAGCTGCTCCACTTCCCTTCCAGCTCCATGCTGTGGCCCGGGAAAGTAGAGGACAGTCCAAAGCCTTGGGACCTTGTGCTCCCGTGGGAGACCCAGAAGAAACTCTTGACTCCTGGCTTTGGATTGGCTCAGCTACAGCTGTTGTGGCCATTTGGGCAGCTTACCAGCAGATGGAAGATCTTTCTGTCTCTCCTTCCTGTAAATCTGCCTTTCCAAAAATAAAACAAAATAAAGCAATCTTTAAAAAGAAAGATGAGGAATTTGTAGAATCTCAGTGTGGCCCGGGATTTCTCACCATGTTAGATGTTGGGGCCAGGAAACATGTTCAAACCCTTGGTTCCTCCCATTTCGCTTCTGCACCAGTCTCAAAGCCCCATTCTCACCATCTCACAGAAGGCTGCCCTAATGAGGACTTTGCAATTACTTTTCACTTTTTAAGGCATAACTCTTGACCTGAAAGGTTTTGACAAATTGCCATTTTCCCCATACATACTCTATATATTCCAAGAAGAGCAGGGCAGGGCAGTGGATTCTCCAGCCATTCTGTGCTCATCTTAGAAACCAGGCCTGCTTTGTGCATTTCCCCTTACTGTTTGTGCAAGGGAGACATGAAAAATGCATGCGGGTTTTGAAACTCCCTGTGTGCCAGCCCTGAGTCCTCATCAAAGGAGGCCGTGTGTTGTCCGGAGAGCAGCGCTCGGTCAGCTGCAAGACGGACGGAAGTGCACAGAGCTGTTTGTGTTTAACGACAGAATACAGACATCAAGAAGGCTAGATAGCCTGGGTTTGGTGCAACGGTATTTTCATATTCCATATTCAAAGAAACATCAGTCATAAGTGAAAACAACAGGAAACTTATCAGAAACAGAGCCCAGAGCCAGGATAAACAAAACCAATAGGGCTCCATCAAGGCCTGGTCTTGCAAAACAAACTTCATGGTACCTAAGAAAACCATCTTACATATTCACAAAGAGACTGTCAGATGTTTCTGAAGACAGACAGTCCTCCATGGCTGATTCTTTAGGCTCGTGTGTCACTGTTAGAATTGCTCTGACACGGTGACTGGGAAGGAGCCGTGTCCTGCGCAGTGCGGGATGGCTGCTCCTGCCATGGCTTCCTTCCCGCACACTTCCTCCCGGTGCAGTCAAGTTGGATTGACACAACGCCGAGGCTTCTGCAGAGCCCTGGAATAGTGCAGTGGTTCCCAGTGAGTGCACGTTCCCAGCAGCACAGAGAAAAAATGACAAAGCTGGGAGCCAAGTCACAGAAGCGTCCAGACTAAGTCCCGGGATTGGTTTTACTGTCAACTATGATGTGAAACTTTGAGAGATAACCTGCCGAAAAAAGGTGTTGGTGATTGCTGTATTTATTTTCATTCTTAGGAACAAGCCACGTGCAATTAAGAAAACTCCTCCATATTACAAATAAATGGGATCAAATAATTCACTGTTCAACCAGAATTCATTCAAGTTTTTTTTTAAGATTTATTTTTTTAATTTTTTTTTTATTGGAAAGGCGGATATACAGAGAGGAGAGACAGAGAGGAAGATCTTCCATCCGATGATTCACTCCCTAAGTGAGCGCAAAGGCCTATGATATGCCGACCCGAAGCCAGGAGCCTCTTCCGGGTCTCCCACGCGAGTGCAGGGTCCCAAGGCTTTGGGCCGTCCTCGACTGCCTTCCCAGGCCACAGGCAGGGAGCTGGAAGGGAAGCGGGGATGCCGGGATAGAACTGGCGCCCATATGGGATCCCGGGCGTTCAAGGCAAGGACCTTAACCACTGCACCACCGTGCCGGGCCCCCAAGTTTTTTTTTTTTTTTCAATGGAAAGCGCAATTAATACTTGTTTTCACACTTGACTTGCCAGGAGTTTGAGCTCTCGGCCTTGCCTTCCCTCTCTCCAGGTCTATCCGTTGGGAGCTCTCCTCTGACCCGCAGGGCAGCCCTTCTTCAAACCATGGGGCTTTGTCCAGAAGGTACTCTTGTTTTCAGAAAATCCTAAAACAACTCCTTTAAAGGGTTTGTTTAAAACAACGCGAGTCATGGGGCTAGCTGTAAGACCGAAACACTACACTTTATTTACAGAAGTTCGGACTTTGAAGAAGTGGTTTGCTTTGTTTGGTTGTCAACCCAATAAATCATGTTGAGAATCCTGGGTGATGGGGGGCACTCAGCACTCTCAGGAGAAGCTGAGGGGCCCGTCCTTTCTGCCTTCACTAAGGCCGCATGACAAAAAGAGGATGAGGAAGCAGATGTGACCTGGAAGCCGACAGTGCCACACTCCCTCTGTGACAGCGTGGGTGCTCGCACTTGCCACAGCCCTGGTGTGCAGGCACGCAGCACTGCTTTAACAGGGTGTTCAGAAGCACCCATGTGTGCAATTACACACGCAGACAATGCTAACCCAAAGCAGGGGCAAGAGGAAAATAATACTGGAGCAACGATAAGCGCAGCCTCTCATAGAACTACAAGTAACACACAGAAGTGTATGCACATTCAGTTTTGCAGTTCACATTATGAAATGAAATGCACTTGTTGCTGCAGATAGTAACTTTACAATTTAAAGAAGTGAAAGTTGCTTAAAGAGTTAAAACTTTCCAAGAGGAAACATTTTTAAAATTCAATTACAGTTTGTATAAACGTCTTCAGTGTATCTGTTCTTTCTCTGATTCTTGATCCTTTCTGCTGAAGTGCTGGTCTGGGAAGAAAGGACGAGACTGCTCAGAGAAGAATAAGAGCAAATACAACATTAACATGCTGGAGCGAGTCCCAGAAACCTCCACGCCACGGGACGAGGCGCAGTTTCTTTACTTGGCGCTGCCACCCAATGTAGCCCCTGGGAGAGAAAGGACTGGTACGGAGATCAGCCTTCTGTGCCAGACGAGACGAAGCTGGCTCTGCTGAAGCACGTGGGAGACCAAAACCACAGCCACCTCCTGCCTGCCGGCCCTCCCTGCGCCTCTGCCCTGAACCCACCCTCAGTCACTGTGTGTTAGTGACTGTGGCCACACGCACAAGTCCAGGCAGCTCAGGATGGAAAGTCAGGGTTGCATTATGGTGTAAAACACAAATTTCCCAAATTCAAACACCTATCCTCCAAGAACTTTGGTCCTGTTATGCACAGATTTCAGAAAGTTTTACACTAAAAGAGTTCCCTTTTCTGTCTTTTTTCCGTGAACTTTTTAAAGTAACTTCGATATTTTGCACTTAGGTCTGCTGGAGTGGGGGCTCAGAGGTGTTGGTTCTGAGTGCTGTGTGTCTGCATGCACAAGTCTAGACGTAAGTTAGAGCTGAGAGCATCTTCATGGTCGTGTTTACGCATCTAGAGAGGATGCATACATTTGTGAATATATTCTGGCCCGACGTAGCACACAGAACTACACTCTTCAAAATGACGTCACGCGGTACAACTGCCAAATTCAGCTACTTATTTGTATTTTCCAGCAGACAAGTGATCGGTGTAAGGCATTCCCTCGGGAAGGCACACGTCAGCTCACATGGGACCACATGGAGTCTGCACTCCACATGGGGACCACGACCAGATCCTCAGACTAACTCCAAAAGAGCTTGCTCCAAGGAGAGGGTGGCTTTTAGTAATCAGGAAATCGGTAGGCTTAAGATAAGCATGCGAATCAATACTGTTAGTATTTGTAATGAAAAGCCTTGATGAGAGTTGAAATACTGCCTGCCCTCAAAGAAAACACACTGAACTTACTTCAATTTTGTGACAGATTATTCTAATCATAGTTTTTCGAAATCAGAAATTAGGAACACAACTGCCCAGACTTCCTAACTCAGCTACAACAACTACAACCACTAGGTGGAGCCATGAGTGGAAATAAGAGGGTACCAGGCTACAGGTGCACCAACCGGGAGAGCTGCAAGTGAAATCCACCGTCTCAGTTCCCCATAAAAGCACGAGACTGAAAAATGCATACTTTATCAGCGTTCAAGCCGCAACACTGTGTGTCCATCAGGCTCAAAAGCTCTACATGGGACACACAGAGGCACAACAGTGACACAACGTGCAAGACACACCAGACACCATGCACAGCAGGATTCAGAATACACACAGCCGAGTCTTCCAGATAATCCAGGAGAGCAAGTCTTGTGAGGCTTTGTGGTTTGTTCAGTTGATTGGTTACTTGGTCTCTCTTATTGCTGTTACCTCACACGGTTTGGGAAAACTGAAATTTTGAGAAAATAATGACACAAGGGCACCCAATGAATAAGTAGGATATACAAACCCTGCTCTATTCAAAGTCATGCAGTGTGGCCAAACGCAGCAAGTAAAGATGTGTGACACAGAGAACCACATCGTTTGGGGTAACACGTCTCGGCAGAGTTTGGGACACACATGCACTAAACAATGACTTGCTGTCCTCCTGAAGTCCCCATCTCTCCAAGAAATAGGTGTTGTAATCTCCCTCTCACCTCTACTGGTGTGCTGACCAGCCCCCAGAGTGGCCACTGCCTGCCTCATCCCTGTGGGTGGGGACCACTGCCTGCCTCACTGCTGTGGGTGGGGACGGCCAGCAAGAACTGCCTTTTCCTTCTGAGGCTCCACAGCTCTGCACCCACGGGAGGTGCAGGCCCTGCCACGCTCAGTGACACATGCTCCTCGAGTGGGTGGTCCACGGCCTATTCTCTGAGCAAGAGCAGAGTAGATGACAAATGCAGGAAAAAGGCCATGCAGGAGGAGCATGCAAGGAGCAGTCAAATCCATTCCAGGGACCATGAGGGCTGACATATGATGTCTCACACATGATGTCCAACTAAAAAGATGCAAATGCAATCTGGATAAACAGAATCTGAGCAAAGATTCTATTAAACCTCGTGTTGTGAAGACACTGTTTGGAACACGAATATTCCATATCCGAGCACCTGACCTGAGTCCTGTCTCTGCTGTTGGTCCAGGTTCCTGCTAACGCATGCCCTGGTTGGTGGCGGGCAATGGCTGGGGCATTTGGGTCTCTGCCACCCACAAGGGAGCCCCAGATGGAATTTCTGGCCTCCGGCTTTGGTCTGGCCCATCCTCAGCTGTCTGAGTCGTGCAGATATGAACACAGCAAAGAGAAGACCGAGCTCTCTTGCTCTAGTTCTTTTTCTCCTTCTCAAATAATTTTTGAAAAGTCTTATGTTCCCATGACCTGGTGTGCAGTGATATTTCATAAGTGGAATAACCAGTGAAACCTAGAGAGCAGCCACTGGTGTCCTGGACAGTGGCCATGAGAGCAAAGGCCACGTCCTGGGACATTGTGGTTACTACATTTCCTCCCCTGCTCACTCACCCAATTCCACTGTAACTGTTGCTCCCAGACTCTCTTTAACTCAGAGATGCTCCTGGCAGGGCGACCTTCCTTCCCATGTTGCATTCCTACTATCTCCAGAACCTTCCTGTGGACTAAGAAAGCAGAATAGCAGTCAGGTTAAGCACATCACTGCAAGTTTTTCTCTTAAATGATGGGAAAGAGAGCCCAGGAAATCCCATAGCGCGCTCATTAAATTACACACTGGTTTCTTCTCACTACATTCTTTCAAATGTAACCTGAAGCCATTTCAGTGTTGACGCATATTTTTATGTGTTTTATTATTTTTAAACATTTACTTAAAACGGCAATCTGGAGAGTAAAAGAGAGAGACCAATCTTCCATTTGCTTGTTCATGCCCCCAAATGCTCCCACCAGTCCAGGCTGAGCCAGTTCAGTGCCTGGCACACTCGGCCTTCTACTCGGGTGGCAGGGATACAGGTGCCAGAGGGTGCATCACCTGCTGCCTGCCACCCTGGGTGTGTATCAGCAGAAATACAGAACTGGAACAACGTGGGATGCAAGTGTCCCAGCTAAGAGCTTAGACCTTGCACAGAATTCATACCCCTAGCAGCTATGCCACATTTCCTTACCTTAAGCGCAGGCAGTGTTTAAAATCTTACTACATCAGTAACAGGCTGGCTATTAAGGCATTTATTCCCAGATCCAGCCCCACCGCCCCTCATGTGCTGTTCTATGCCTCTTGGGATTGACCAAAGGCCACAGGACATCACAGTAGCCAGCTAAGGCTCTGAAGTGCGTCAGCCTAAGTTTATGCAACACCACAGTGGTCTCCTCAGAGTTCCAGTGTGTGCACAGACAATAGCATTGTCTGGGCTTGGAGGAGCAGTGAGCCCTAGCTGTGCCCCAGGCCAGCAGGACAATGTCCACATGGATGACCATCCCCCGCCGTCTACACCCTAAGACCCCCGCTGGACAGGAGGACAGCAACTACGTGCTTGAGCATCAGGACAACCACATGCCAGCAAGGTTCCATCCCAGTTTATGACAACAGCCTTCGTGCCCACGAGGTTGACCCCGTTGGCTCGTGTCTACCTCTGAGAGCTCTCATTCGGCTCTTTTATTCTGGATTCTGGGTCTGCTGAATTTACCATATAAAGTCACTTTAAACTTCTTGTCTGATAATCCCAATTCGGCCTCCGTGGATTTTCTTTTCGCTTGAAAACAGACTTCCTTGTTCTTAGTTCATCATATTTGGGGAGGTTGAAGCAGGGGGGATTCTGCGGGGCTGAGTGTCGTGGCTTCTGCTTTTAGCACCTAACTGTTTTGACTAGGACTGCTCTGCCAACTCTTTCTGATATTTTTGAGTGACATCTCCAGTTAAAGTGGAGATGGCTTGCCTTCAGCTGGGTTGTTCCGTTGATTCCTTAATGCAACTGTTAGATTGGGCAGTTCTGAATCCCTCTTTCATTTCAGATTCATAGCAGAGGCAAATCACAAATGTCTAAATTTCTTCCCTTCTGAATTTGTTCAATTTTCCCCCAACAACTGACTTAGAATTCTTCTCAAAATAACATAAATATTTGCTTTCCTAATATTTTGTCCCAATATCCCATTCAGTAGACATCAGCGTTAACAAAACATCAGGGAAATGTCACAGACAATTTTCTACATTCCACAACTTAAGGACTGAACAGAATCCTCATTTAACTAAATCTCATATCTGTCTCATTTATTTTCACTCAAACAACATTCTTAGAGCCCTTATTTGTGTTTTCCAGTTCCTGTACATTAATGATACTTTAAAGCCTCGGCTAGACCTCAGCAGATAAGCGATTTTGGCTGACTATGAGAATCCAGCTCAGTCTGTCTCACACACTGTGCAACCCACAGCAGTGTCAGTGAGAAGCTGCTCGGGGCCCAGGTCTTCACCCAGCAATCTCTGCGGCCCCACAGGTCCTCATGGGCCTGCCCAGCAGTCTCTGCGGCCCCACAGGTCTGCATGGACCAGGTCACCATCCAGCAGTCTCTGCGGCCCCACAGGTCCTCATGGGCCTGCCCAACAGTCTCTGCGGTCCCACAGGTCTGCATATCTAATCAGAGGCCAGAGGAGAAAAGTTGTTGATGATTCTTTTGCTACTGTTCCTTACCCATAGATTGAAAGGAAGATACATCGTTTTCTGACCTACATTTATCTAAGAAGTCCACTATGCTCAGCCTATAGGTTTCTTTATTATCTTCATTCTGCTACAGTTCAAGTTCTGTGCTAGATTCAGCTTGACTGAGTTTTGAACTCTGGTCCCTGGCTCTGGAGCCCATGCATTCAACCACTGCACAAGAATATACTAGCTTGGCAAGAGCACTCACACTGTTTTCAAGCCTAACACATGAGTGCGGCAAGGAAGAACCCACATCCAACAGTGGTGATGCAACTACAGGTGCCAGAGTAAAAGAAGGTGCTCACAGCTTTATGACATGCAACAGCAGCCTGCACTGACCAGACTCAAACCCCCACCGAGCACAGCCTCGCTTGCCTGGCCGCAGCACAAGCACGATGCCTTTCACTCCCACGTCCTATTTTCCACTGGTGTGGGTGTGAACAACAAACACTGGGATTGAGACAATGGGAACAGTAGAACAGCACGACCCAGAAGGAGACTCGCCCAGGGTGTGTCTCTCGCCCTGGGATAGGAGGTGGCAGGTAGGGTACTTGGGTGCTCACTCACCTTGGGGACAGGTTTTTGAAGTCTTTGTCCCTCCTGCAGTCCTGCCTTCTCAACTCTGTGAAGGAACCAAAAGGAAAAGAACTCAGACACATCGCCTGTGTGGCCATCAGGGGAAGTGCAGCTGGCGGCAGACAGAGGCAAGAGCCTGCAAGGACCCAGGCTTTCTCACGAGAAGGGCCAGTGCGGGAGGAAGGAGAGAACGTTGATAACGTATTCTTGTTCTGAAACCAACTCACCTCTTCCTTGTCCTTGCTTTGAGGGTGATGTTTTAAAAGATCTTCAGCTGAAAAAAGAAAAACGGACGAAGACGACCAGCAAGCAGTTCTCAGGCAAAGAGAGCTGAGGGCAGGTGAGGGATTCCCCTCCACTGCAGGATTCAGGGTCCTCACCTGGAGGCCAGGAACCCCGCACTGCACACCTCGGCCCAGGGGTGAGCTCTGTGCCTTGGAGGAGATGCACAAATCAGCTGTTTCTAGGGAGGTGCAGGATATATGACGACGGCAAGGGTCAGCCCCCACCTTCAATTCAGAATCCCCAACAACACTTCATATGAATGCACCTGCCCTGTAGGGGCCCACTGTCAGGTCCTGCCATGTGCTTGGTCAGTTGCAAGAGTGGACACGGGGACCCTTGCAACATTATAAGCTGCTGGAGGTGCAACCAGCTCTCTGCCTTCCCACCACTTCTCTTCTCTGCCAGGAAGAGCAATGGATGCCAGAGAGAAGCTCTTTCCACCTCAGCCACGATGATGGCAATAAATTGGGTTTTTCTGGAAGATCTCAAAAGGTTTCACAGTTACAGACCTTGGTGGTGAAGAACTTGTTTGAAAACAAGAAAGTGAAAGCAAAGTGCTAAAGGCGTCACACAAACATGTTTATTTTTAAAGCACATATAAGATATTAATGATAACGAAAACATGTCTACAAAACGTCACTTGATCTTAGCCAAAAGGCCGAGAAGCGATGAAAACATGTCTACAAAACTTTACACATTTGCTACTATCACTTACCACTGGCTTAAGGCACACAGTGCATGATACTTCTTTTCTGATACAGAGCCCCTCAAATGTCTCCTTAACCACGCCACCATTAAATTGCTTCAGTACCTTACATGGTACAATACCGCCCTCGTGAATATCGGGCAAAGAAAATGCTTTGTGGGTAAAAGTACTACACTACTAGTTACTGGCAAAAAAAAAAAAAATCTATTAGTAGATTCCAGTTTGTTGGCTTTCAGAGCAGGTTGCTGTAGCAAAATATTTATCTGTCTTGCTAAGTCAGTTATTCTCATCTCTTATACACAAGTTGCTCACATGAAAAAAAATGCCTGATATTGAAATATGTGTGATGGATTGTTCAGTTTCTAGAAACCACTAAAATAAATTAACAGCAACATCCCTCGCAAAGGTTTGCCTCCATAAATACAATTTTGTGTCTAACAAAATAAAATATTCAAAATTTTAAGAATTTTCACTTTTCTTTATGATTCACAAAACAGCACACAACTCTGAGAAATGGCTATTTCTAAGGGATACATATGTACAACATGATAAAGGTATGATGTAACATCAATGTTACAAAAACAATATTTTGCTCTGATAAGCACAAGCAAATTAGAGGTAGGTTTTAAAAGTTAAATTCTATATATCATGTCTTACACAGAATACCCACAAAATGCCTTAGCATTTCACCCGAGCACAGATACTTAACATAAAGTTGGTACCACAGTTCAGAAGGCTGTGTTTTCTTAATTAAGCACCAGAATCCACAGCTTTCAATTGAAGAAAAAAATAATAAATTACGGTACCTAGCCTGTATCAGCAGGAAGTATAATGGCATGTGCTTTCGGACCTGACTCTCTTCAGCAGACACATCAGTGATGTCGTGGTGTTTACGGTGCACCTGCTTCTTCTGTGTTTCTGCTAGTCCACTGCAACCAGCAGAGACGGACAGGGGTCTCCAGGGGCAATGTGGGTGTGGTCTAACCACACACTGTCTCAGTGCAGCTCATCCAAACAGCTTTGCAGTCCCTCCCACAGAGATCCTATCAGAGTCACACTGTCACGTTGCTTAGAGCAGTGACAGGACTCGCTGCTGAGCACCCGTAGGAGAGGCAGAGCCAGCGGAGGCACAGAGGCAGAAGTGAAGGAAGAGCACCAATTACTTGTGTGTCCTGGCAAGAGCTCCTCTGGGGCTCTGCACCCCACGTCTGAGCACTCACAGCACTTGAACTGGGAGCCCGGTGGCCACGTGCGGAGCACACTTCCCGCAGAACCCACCGCACCTGCCATACACTTTGGTTCCATCCTGAAAATGGGAAAAGAAGGAGACATAATAGAACCTTATTCAAGCTGAAATCTGCAAGGACAGCCAGAGGGGGAAAGCAGATGTGTTGAACTCATCAGCCCGAGCTCCCTGCAGGTACATCTCCTAAGGTCACAGCTGGACCCTTGCAGCAAGTGCAGAGTGGGGCTCTTAGCCAAGTCAGCCCGAGTGGTATCTCTAACCAGTGACTCTGGGCCATGCAGCAAGGCAGACAATGGCATCTCAATCACACATTTCCACATCTCTTAGTGAGTGGACTCGAGCCTTTCCCAATTCTTTGACCAACATTTAAATAATTTACACAAAGTTCTCATTGAAAAACTGGACCCCGAACATCTCCTGTGAGCATGAGAGAAACATGCTGGAGGAACACACAGAAGGTGGCACCAAGGAAAGACAGAACCTGCTTGGAAACAGTGACTACTGCTGGAGAAGCCCAGGCAGGTCCCTGCACTCACCTGTGATCTGCGAATGACCACCGAGGCGTAGTTCCCCTGAGCGAGCCACTTGGCCGTGCTGGAAATCTTCATCCCTGTTCCCGCCAAGTTGATGCTGAACTGTCCCTGCATTTCAAGCAAAAACAAAACAAATAGAAGGATTTGTGAAATGTTTAATGATGCTCTCAGCTGGAAATATTGTGGGAATGACGTGTATAACAGTGGACATGGAAGGACCTTCTCAGACAGAATGAAAGAATGTTGACACACTTTTTGTGTAAAGAAAAGTGGACCAGCTTAAAAGGGACAACAGACAAGCCTCTAGCACGGGCACTAACTGCGTGGTGTTTGTGCAGAAGTCACCGCCGTCCAAGCACAACTCCAGGCCTTGACAAGGAGAACTCAGCAGCCACGGCCCTACAATCATGACCCCAGGAGTCAAGGCCCTACAACCATGACCCCGGGCCTTGACAAGCAGAGCTGCGGAGTGGTGGTGCAGCAGGTGCTGGGGGCAGGGGCCCAGCAGACTGCACACCTCCCACCTGCAATGCCTGTCCTGCTCCACTGGCTGGATGCATTTACTGCAGTCTGCTCCCGCACCCTTCCCTTGTGTGCTAAGAATGTCAGCTCTTCACCCACCACACGCAATGACAACACCACACAGCTGTCCTGGCAGGCTGACAGGCGTTTCCTAACCATCCCAAGGAAATGTGGGTGTGGGGGCCACTGGATCTGCATGCACCCCAGTCTGGGGGTGGGGGTGGTCACCAGTAGCTTTTTAATCCAATGCTTTTGAGAATAAGGACCATTTCAGACTGTTTGAATAAAACGTACACAATTTATATATTTACATCTTATGGTGCATATATAAATAAATAGATAAAGTGTAGTTCAAGCAAAGGGTTTTATTAATCCGAGAAGAGAAGCTGGCCATCACCAGCTGCCTCCCAGAGTCTCCAAGAAAGAAACCTGCCACAAGACACAAAGATTTCTTACCGGTGACACTAACACACAATCCATAAAGGAAAAATAATTAAAACAACTGACTTCATTAAGATGTTTAGCTTTTCTCCTGAAAGAGACTTAAAGGTAAATTCAGATGAGGAAAAAAATATTTGCCAGCGTCCTGACGAAAGACTTTAATCTGAAATATATAATGAGCTTTTAAAACTCAGTAAGAACACAAAGACACAACGAAAAAACTGGTAGAGGCCTTCAACAAGCTCTGCAGCAAAGATGAATACAAGCCATGGGACACACTTAAGGTAGTTAGCCAACAGAGAAATGCAGCCAGAGCGGGGCACCACCAAAGAGGACGCGACTCTACCACAGGTACTGCAGCCATCGCTGCCGGGACACAGCAAGCCGCCTCAGACACAGAACATCAACACACACATTCCTTCCGAATCTGCTGTCCGCTCCCAGGCTTACCCTGCAGACACGAAAACCCTGTGCCCGGTGTGGATGTCATCATCTCTGGGAACGGGGCACAGCCCTGGCTTCCTAGCTTACGATGTGCCAATGGGCACCACATGGGCCGGGCATCCCTGGAAGGGCTCACTCGCCAGTGACAACAGGTGTGCGCCTCAGAGGCCCCAAGCTGAGAGTTCCCTTCCACCCCGGGGGCTTGGTGTGACTTTGGAGAAGGCAGGGCAAGGCCCACAGAGAACAGAATGGTGGTTCAGGATATGGGCAGGCTCGGAGGTAATTCACAGGGAACAGGAAACTTAAACTCTGCACCCAGACCAAAAAGAACACATTGCAAGTATTCAACAACTGATCCTAAGAACGGGTGCTGATCAGACTGCATTGCCAGGGACTGGACCTGACGAATTATCTTACTCTTATGTAATCAAACATTAATTACAAGCCAGCAGAGGTAGGTGTGTGTGTGTGTAAAAGCACAGAACCTTTGTTTCCACTTACACGCGGCATACGGAATCTACATTCACATCACACTCCCTCACTGGCTCTCACATTACAATGTGCCAAAGTTTATTTTCCCTAAAGAGTGCCACGTGTGCCCATGTTCTTGCATTGCCTGTCCTGGAGCACTCCATCATATGCAAACACACAGAATGTGGTTTAGGTTTGAGTCTCAAACAGCAGAATCAGTTCTTTGTGAAACATCAAACATCTGGAGAGCATTTATGCAAATATTGGGTAACTCAACATGCAATCTGGCTTATCTATCTCCAGGAATACTGGGAAGTTGGTGTTTCTGGTAACAGTAGCCTTAGGCGGGTAAGTGTGCACTGACTGTAGATGGGCATGGCTCCTGCAAAGGACGACCTCATGCCCAGCCACATCTCATTCTGGAAATGGAGCTTTACATCCCAGAAACGCCTGACGGGGAGAAGGACATATTACTGCAGCACTGTCTGTGACCTCGAGGACTGAGCCAGACTGTGAACACGCAGGGTCTGCATCCCCTGCCATAAAACAGAATTACCCAGCTGGCAACTGGGAATGCTCCCCAAAGTGTAGAAGTAAAATAGGGTTACACACACACACATTGGACAAAAGGAGCCGGCCAGGAATGGCTGTGGCTCTCATCGCCATTAGAACCACACCGGGTTCTGCTCAGACTCTCAGATCATCCAGAAATGCTGTGCTTATGTCAACTGGCATTTACTTAAAATGCTTGCTATGACGAGGCTCAAGCCTAAAACAAAACAACGTGAAGCCCACTTGACAATCAGATGATCTACTTGCATATCAGTCTTCTGTGAATTCTGTGATGTTTCATCGAGCAGAGTTTACTCAACACCGAAATGACAAGCACCAGATTTACAAGACTTGGTGAGTAATGGCATCTGTGAGGCTGGTATTAACAGACAGCTAACAAATTTAAGGTGCACTTCCAACTGACTTCTCTCTAACCACTTCAAGTCTATCATAGGATGGGAGCAGTGGTGTGGCACTAGTCAAGGTGCCACCTCAGACCCCTACAAGCCATTCGGGGGTGCCTGGGTCAACTTCCTGTTCTGCTTCTGGCTCCAGCTTCCTGCTAACTGCCATCCTGGGAGACACAGGGGCATGCCTCAAGTGTTTGAGTCCTTGACACTCGGGTGGTAAGTAAGGACGGCCACTAGTGTGCCCTGGCTCTGGTGATGAAGGTATTCAGAGAGTTAAGCAGCGGATGGAAGGTCTCTCTGCATTTCAAGTCAAATGAACACATACATCCTAGGACACTGCTATTGACAGGGAACCTCAGTGTCACTGGATCAGACTGTGGAGTGACATATATCTCGTTACAAGGGGATTGTTCATAGCACAATAGCCAACTCATTTCAGGACAATCATTTGGGTACAAAAATCCATTCTCCTTTTAAACCCTTCCTCTGTGTGTGTGTGTGTCCATGAAGAGTATATTAAAGAAATTTCATAATTACTCTTACAACACTGATATTACCTGTCTTACCTCTTCTCTATTGGGATTAAAAACAAATATAAACACATACACATATATACATGTATATATAAATTACTGGCCTTTGATGTATAGAAACGTGATATATTTCACAGTGAGGACAGAAATGAGATGGGGGAGTGAGATGGCCTCGGACTAAGTGATGATGCAGATGACAACCCAAATCCCCAAGAAGAAACAGAGAACCGGAAGTACTAAGTTAAAAGTCCACACACCAAGTTCTGTTAAGCTATCACTGTCCTCATTTCCTGTCATATAACGTAAGTCATACACAACAAATCACACAAGTTGTGTACAACAACCTCCACGTGCATGAAACAAGACGCATGTGAGAGCCCAGCATGTCTACAGTAGCAGCCGGGCCTCAGTGGTGAGAAGGAGGGGAAGCCGAGGGCGCAGCAGCCGGCCCGCGCAACGCAGAGGAGGAACGCAGCAGCCGGCCCCGCACCACGCAGAGAAGGAGCGCACAGCTGGCCGCCTCGCACCACGCAGAGGAGGAGCGCACAGCTGGCCGCCCCGCACCACGCAGAGAAGGAGCGCACAGCTGGCCGCCCCGCACCACGCAGAGGAGGAGCGCACAGCTGGCCCCGCACCACGCAGAGGAGGAGCGCACAGCTGGCCGCCTCGCACCACGCAGAGGAGGAGCGCAGCAGCCGGCCCCGCACCACACAGAGGAGGAGCAGGAGGAGCCGAGGGCGCAGCAGCTGGCCGCCCAGCGCCACGCAGACCCCTGAGCACGCGCGGACATTCCCCTGCTGTGACATGAGGCTGGAGAAGTGCAGCAGGGCTGAGATAATGCCATAACAGGATGAAAAGAAGAATCATAACCAGAGGGAATTAGGGAAACTTACAATGATTTGGATATTTAACACACTCTCTTAAGTAATCAATGATTCAAAGACAACAGAGAGATGAAAGAAAATAAGTTAAGAAGGGTTTTTAGGGAAATTTATAACTACAAATGCCTAGCAAAAATAGCTCAGTAACTTACACTTAAGTTACCTAAGCCAAGAGGAATGAAAGATTAATAACGATTAGAAAACAAATTGACCAAATAAAGAAAACATACAATTTCAAGAGTTAGAGTTTTTAAAAGAAGAATAAAACAAATCTTCAGTTAGAATGAGTCAAAAACAAGAGTGGCACTTCAGTTATCCAGACTGGGAGCAAGGAGGTAACTCGTCAACAGCCTCTCAGCCACGCGGGACAGCCTCTCAGCCACGCGGGACAGCCAGCCAGACGCCTTGCAGGGAACGGACCAAGTCTGTAAAAGCATCAACTACAGACACTCAGCCAGGAGGAGCCAGAAGCCTGAACATATCACAGTTCATAAAGAGATGATTAGTCACAGCAGAAACACCTATGTAGAAAAGTGCAGCCTCTGACAGGCGCTGCTGGCGCGTTCCAGCAAACATTCCAAGCTGGATAAGCTCTTCCCCAAACAAGGAGGAACAAACGTTTCCCGATTTATTTACTGAAACTACTGTTTCAGACACAGACACCGCAAAGAAAACCCGAGAGAGCAGGACCTCTCACACGCAGATGATCACCAGCCACAAAGCACGCACGCCCCGTCCAGGAATGTGGACAGCTTCAGCCAGCCTGGCCAGGGATGCTGCTCGGAACCCGGGAGTGTGACGGCTGTCAGTGAGGAAGTGGGTGAGGCCACAGGGTGTCCCTACCACCTGCGGGAGAAGCGTTTGACAAGATCCGACACCGCTGCGGACAGGAGTGGGAGCCCTGTCTGCGTCGAGCCTCCTGGCCAGCATCGCAAACGCGTACCGGGTTGTTTGTAAATCGGTCCATGCTCTGTGTACGTCACATTATAATCATGATGGTTGAGGAGCACCCACGCTGCTAGATTCTACTTGAATTTCTGCAGCTACACTACGGCTTTTATGTTTAGTCTAGATCTTTTCTTACCTGTTTCTGCTTTCAGTTCAAGATTTCCCTAAACCAAGTGAGTGCTCTCCGTTCCTAACATGAAGAATACTTGGTATGGTGGATGATGCCAACTACAAGTTGGAAATCCCATGAAGAGACGCTGTGGCAAAGCATTTACTGCAGTCATCTGAGCGACATCGACATGCTAATCATTTCTCTCATAGATTTGACTCCAGCTTCAGTTAGCCGCAAACTTCCTAACAGAGCTGTCAAATGTTCAATGGGTACAACTTGCTACTTTATCACAACAACGTTGTCTACGTGGACTACACAAAACACCTTGTTGAAATGAAGTTTTTAGTCTACTTTTTAAAACAGCATTCTGGTTTTAAAAAAATGAGTGAAAAGAAACACTGTATTCCTTTTTCATTGTGACAGAAAAAATATATTTTAAAAATGAAATACCTGTGGGCACCGGGCAGCACTGTAGCAATCTCCAGCTGTGGCCAGTGGAACCGGTTTGCCAAAAACTGTCCTGGCAAATAGAAGATCCGTGGCTGGAAAACAGAAAACGAACCTCCTTTACACATTTCATGGTCAGGCTTGTGGCTTTCCAAGAGCAACCCCGTCATGACTGTGAGCAGCACAGCACAGGCTCTCCATGCATAAATTCTCCTGGGCACAAAAATGCTCATCTCATATGCTGCCCTAGAAAATGGCTGCTGTATTTGGAATTAAAGAGTATGATTTAAAAACTAATTAAATGCTCCATTATAGTCCGTGTCATGGTAAGTTCTTATAATAGGCAAAATGATACCAACAGTAAAATCACTATAGAAAGGTTAACAGGTAAAAATTATGACAAAGCCATATGCAAATAATTATAGAGAACATAAATATTAATTAGCTTGGGCCATTCAAAATACCATTCCAAAAAATGTGGCACGTTTTTGATTATGTAAGCATAAGAGGGACCTAAAAATTTTGTGACAATGGAATTAAACCTAAGTTTATTTTGGTGCAAAGAATTTTAAAGCCATACAAATGGATGGTCTTTAGAAATGCCATGATGAGGCCTTGGCCGATGGCTCAAAGGTTACATGCTTTCCTTGCACATGCCAGGATCCCAGACAGGCGCCAGGTTGTGCCCCAGCTGCCCCACTTCCCGTCCAGCTCCCTGCTTGTGGCCTGGGGAAGCAGTGAAGGACGCCCACTGGGACCTTGCACTTGCAAGGGAGACCCAGAAAAGGCTCCTGGCTTCAGATCGGCTCGGCCCCAGCCCAGTGGACGGAAGATCGTCTCTGTCTTTTCTTCTCACTGTGGATCTACCTTTCTGATAAAAATAAGTGAAACTTTTAAAATGCCATGGAAATGCATAGTAGAATACAAAGTATGGTTCTCAAAAATCATTTTTCCACCAAAGGCAGTCTATCTTCCAGTTCTATTTTTCCATGACTTTTTGAAGTACCCTTATGTTGCTTGTTTCTTAAAATTATTTATATATTTATTTATGTATTTACTTTTTATTTATTTGAAAGGCAGACAGACGAATAGAGAAAGGGAGACACACAGAGAGACATCTCCAACCACTGTCTCATTCGCCAAACGTGGATCCATGGCTCAGGAGGAGCAGGTGCACAGGATGCAGAAATGTGCTGACTTGACAGAATCACAGATCCCTCCCCAGACAGGGTGAGCCACAGCCTGGTCTCTGGGGGCTGCGGGTTGGAATTCATCCCCCTTCTGTGCCAAGTACTAACGTTATGGTCTGGGACCTGTCGCTCAACTTTATGATAAAAACATTCATGCATTACATTACGACATACTTGTCTCAACTTACAGAGGGTGGCTGAAAAGATCAAATTAAATAATGTATGGGAAAATACTTAATAAATTATAGTGTGAACTAAACACAAAGGATTACTTAAAACCCTGCAAAATAGCTTACCCAGTATACTGAGATGGTTAACTGCCTTAGCCTTAATGTGTTTGGAGGTGTTACGGCAGAGGAAGAGCAGTGACCCCCACCATTATCACTCCATTTTCACTGAGGGTCTCCATGGTACTCGCTACGCTGAAAAAAGAATTAGCTAATAACTGCTCTTTTAAAGAATTCAAGTGGTGGCTGCTCCATGCCAAGCTCTGTTTTCCACCAGGGCTATCATATCTCCCAGCGTACGCCAGCCCTCATCCGCAAACGCAGGCCTTTCATTCTGAGCATAGGGATTCTCACTTACTTTTTTTTTTTTAAAGATTTATTTTTATTATTTTTCTATTGGAAAGGCGGATATACAGAGAGGAGAGACAGAGAGGAAGATCTTCCGTCCGATGATTCACTCCCCAAGTGAGCACAACGGGCCGATGCTATGCCGGTCCGAAGCCAGGAGCCTCTTCTGGGTCTCCCACTCGGGTGCAGGTTCCCAAAGCTTTGGGCCGTTCCTCGACTGCTTTCCCAGGCCACAGGCAGGGAGCTGGAAGGGAAGCGGGGCTGCCGGGATTAGAACCGGCGCCCATATGGGATCCCGGGGGTGCAAGGCGAGGACCTTTAACCACTTGCGCCACTGCGCCGGGCCCCTCACTTACTTTTGATCTGCATGGAAGTGAGATCGATTCTTATTTTGCTGAAAACCGTGTACCCAGCAGCGAGGTAGTCGTGTTGACACTCACAGTCTTTCCTCCTACTCCCATTGAAAGGGCATTCATAGGGGTTTTGTAGTCTGCAACAACATTGGAATATTTTCAGAATGAGATATAGTTATTAGACCAACATTATGGATAAGCAGAAAGCTGTGGACAGAAGTGGGAAGGTTAAAAAAAAAACCCTGCTTGTTAACCAGAAGAAGGAAGTAAAACTTCTCAATGGGAAAATCATTCAGAATTAACTTGCTATCCACTAAATGGGCGTGGTCTTCCACTCCTTCCTGTCTTGTTTTCCCATCCTTGAACCGCAGGTCTGTCGGTCATTCCCCCAGGGAACAGCTGCTATGCTCACATGGACATGGAAAACTTGTGTCACCCCGGAGGCTGGAAGGACAATGGCGACGCACAGACAGAAGAGGACACAGCTCACACCTGGGGCCATACACCTCCGAAAAGTTGTCTTGTTCACCTCTGACCAGCGGCAGGTACTCCTTGGGGTTTGCCAAGCGCATGCCGGCACAGTGGATCTGACGGGGAAAGGCGAGCATCTGAGAGGCTTCGCCAAAGCCAGCAGGGATGCTGAAACCACACGGGAGCTGCCCCTCTCCTACCTTGATGAGTCTCCCCTCGATGTGAAGGAAGTAGTCTCCATCCTCTGTGACGTGTGTGCTCGTCTGGACTTCCTTGCAGGTGCTGAGCAATTTACCTTCAGGACATGAACAGAATGCACCAGCATGTTAGGTGTGACCCCGCAAGTGCTGACACCATGACACTTTGTGTGACCACTACAAACATTCCACTTTGGCACTTTTAGGAACACTCAGGCACTAGGTAGGTTCTTGACGTCTTACTCACAGTCACTGGCATAGCACTTCTTCTGAGCATCTGGTCTTAAATGCTTCAAACACAAGTCGCTGGGCCACCCGTCTTCAGTCATGCACTCCACCCTTCTGCGCACTGTCCCAGGTCCACAGGTCACCGAGCACTGCAGACACATTAGAATGTGAAGGCAAAATATGTAACGAATCACATGACCAAAGCATCCATGCCTCCTCCTCTCAAAGTGCCCTGGAAGCAGCCTGAGGCGCAGGGAGGTTCGGATCTCCCGAAACAGGAAAGCACAGCGGGGACAGGATGGTCACAGGTGGAAAGAGACATCCAAGTCCTTGGGCACAAGTCTGGATCTGCTGTTTCTCTGTGGCTGCTCTTCTGTCATTTGCTTTGTTCAGTTACAGCAGCAGAATGCTGCAAATGGATTTCATAATTCTGCACGAAGCAGAATTTAAAAATTACCTTCATTTTGATATAAAAGATTGAAATCCAGTCAAGCACAGGATCTTCAAAATTGCATGGAAAATGAATATTATGAAAAAGTGACATGGATTTCAAAGCTTTCTGTACCAAATAAACTGAATTTTTATTCCACCGCTCCATACATTTTTTAGGGTTCTCTCATAAATATGAATGACAGTTATGAAGATTACCGAGAGTTCTTTACTATTAAATTAGAAAGCCTAAAAAATTCACAGAAAACTGATTTTAAAGCATAATGTAAATTTTCCATCAACTTTGCCTGTCCCTTTGTATTCTAAGTTGGCAAAATACTGTTTGTCTTTCAATCATTTAGTTAGACATGGCACACGGTGCAAATAACCTTCCCCAGTCATAGGCTGATTTTCTTCACTTACCCAGGGATTGACTTTGAAGCGAGCCAGCATACACAAATGACCTGTTTCTAGCAAGTCATGGGAAACACAGAACCGCAGCCGTGCACACAGCTCAGCGAGCAGGCTTCCGACAGCAGGGTCCGAGGCTCCGTGCCGCGGACGAAATGCACAGACCACACCTAGACAGTCCGCATCCTTGCACTGACCTTGCTCCACTTGCCAACCTTCCAGGTGGCCGCGTTCAAACACTTCTTCGCGATGCAGTTGTGAGCCTGAGGGGAGGCCAGCAGAGGGCACTCTCGGTAGACCACGGGCTGGGGCCGCTGGGGAGTGTGCTTCCTGGCCCAGGGCACGCCGGTGCAGTACGCGATCTGCTGCCCGGAACTGAGTCCACAGTTGTCTGCACACTGAAAGGGGGTGAGTGGGCTTCTGGGATTTGTCAGATGCTTAACATCCCACTGAATTAGCCCCACGCCCAGGCCAGATCTCTCAACAAAGCTCCAAAGACGCCTGAAAAAGATGCTCAGATAATTCAATGTGGGAGAAAAAAAATCTGTAAAAACTGTATACTGACAACTGCATGGCCACTTACAAAAGGATAAAGTTGGATCAAAAACCTAAATGTACAGGATAAAGTGACAAAAGTCACAGAGGAAAACCTGAGTGTGAATCCTACAAATGATACTTAGCATACAAGGGCCAACAGCAACAATAAATACGACTGTGTCAACACTGAAAACAATCGTGTTTCCACGGACACTATCAGGAAAGTGACAGATGACCCAGCGCATTGGAGAAATTATTTGTAAAACATATAACTGATAAAAGTCGGTGCCCAGAAATGTGAAGAAAATAAAAACTTCACAACTCAACAATAAAAAGATGAATCAATCACACAACAGTAAAAGCCAGTTGGGTATATATACATATCCAAGATATCCATCAGCTAAGAAATACATACAATGACACTCATCATTAGCCATTATTAAGAAGCAATTCCGACAGCTAATGAGATGGCACTTCATGTGCAGCAGGGTGCCACAAGGAACACTGCTGGAGCTGTGCAGCAATCCCTGGCAAGCAGGAAAAGCAGAGCAGCAACCACGGAAAGCAGCTGCTCGGCAGTTCAACGCAGAGTTCTCACGGCGTCAGCGCCTGCACTGCTGGTATATCCCCAGAGACGGACAACACCGGCACTGCTCCAGAGTGCAGAATTGACAAGACCTGCGCGCCCATCAGGTGCAGAATCAACGAGCAAAGTACAGCAAGCCCCAGGACCAACACGGAAGAGCCGGAAGACTCGGTGAGAGATGAACACGACCATGGCGTGAAGAGGCAGACATGAAGGGTCACACAGTTTAGGATTCCACTCACGTGGCTGTCCTAAGCAGGCCGACTGGCAGACACAGAAGGGTGTCAACAGGAAGTGAGTGGTGTGGTGCTCTGGAGTGGATCGTGGTGAGGGTTGAACCGGACTAAGGTTCACACAGAAGGTAGCAAAGCAGGATATTAAAATGCTGTTGATAATTACATTTTGTGGTTTTGAAAAGTTGAGTAGTGACTCAATAGTCGAGATGCTGCCTGGGCCCTGACTCCCACGTGGGGGAGGCAGCAGGTTCAGGGTGCCAGGCTTCAGGCTGGCCCAGCCCCAGCCTTGAGACACTGGGGTGCAGAGTGGACAGCAGCAGGTGGGGGATGAACCCCAAGACGGGAGCTCTCCTTCTGTCTCACTGCCCTTCAAACACGAAAATGCATAAATAAATGAATAAAAGTTGAATGATGGTTCTCTAAAGATGAAAACCATAAAATCTGAGATGAAAAACATACTGGAGGAGGCTAAAGGCAGCTCGGACGGACGTGAAGACATCCAGCCTGCGGAGTTTAACAGGTGTGTGACTGCACACGGCCCTTTCAAGCCTGGGTGGCTTTCCTGCTAACATACTCGTCACCTGCCCCATGCCAAGACCGGACCTGCAGTTCCAACCAGGTCAAGTTCAGATCAAGTGTTTTATGCAGGAGCAAACATTTCCCCTTTCTCTCCCTGCCTTACCTGAGAGGAGTCACCTGTTAGCACGATGTACTTGCACAGAGGGTTCCTGCATTTTTGGACAGAAGGTGGTCTGGTTGCAGGGTTGCAGAGGCTGTCGCCCACCGGGACACCCCGAGCATCAGTGCACTGCACCCATCGATAGATCTCTGCTTTCCTACAGGATGCCGAACACTGGAAAGGCAAACGCAGAATGCACAAACACGCCTCCCAGATACAGCGTCTCTGAAGGTTTATGGTCTGTACTCACGTCCGGCCACTCTCCTGCTGTCCACTGGTACTGCACACAGTCCGAGTGCCAACACGGCTGCTGACTGTAAGGCCGGCTGGCCGGGTCGCACCTTTCTGCAGCCACTGGGCCCACACCTCTCAGCCGACAGAACACGTCCCTGTGCTGGACGCCGGGGCCGCAGGTCACAGAGCACTGCAAAGGAGCCCACACGAGGTTAGAGCTGGACAGCTGACACCAAACTAGCTCAGGACAGCAGGTGGAGTCTCCGTGTTTCCGTACGTGTTGTAAGCACAGCCTGAGGCTACTACACCACGTACTGGACAGAAAGCGAAACACAGTAGGTAGTTACGCCATCATCATGTCTGGATCGCCCATATGATTATATAAACACATTTTCTCTATTTGAAGTAAGATAGCTCCAGCCTTACACAAACTATGACAAGCAAATCATGTGACATGAGTCCATATCGCAATCAAAACCATGCTCCTCTGAATTGAATGTGCTCACACTTCCACTTCTGCAACACCTTCAAACAAGCCGCAGACCAAACTGCCTTCGTCTTCCTACCTCCCGGAGCCCCTCTGCTTGGCACCTGTTAGTGGTCCAGGTGTGCGCCAAATCGCTAGCCCACGGTCATCTCTCCTTGCAGAGGACTCATTACCGTAGGAACTCTAAGCCATGGTAACCTTGTCTTGATTCACCAGGCCTCATTTTGCTTATCTGTGAGATGCAAAGTGGGTATGCACTGTCATACCATAGGACATATCCCCATGCTCATAGCTGACAACGGCCCTGGACAGGAAGCACCAAGGGCTGAGAGACCGGAAGTGCCTCCTTCCAGGAGTGCTCATCTCGGCCCACACCGGGCACTGCAGCAGAGCGCTGTGAAGTAGGTGCCCGAGGCTGTGCTGACCAAGGCGCCGCCGATGGGGAGTCGGGACAGGGCCACTCTGAGGGTCAAACAGGCCTCCTATCATCACGGAGTGAAAGGGGCAAGCAGACTCGCTCAGATCTCCTCATAAAGGAGGTTAACCCCAACCATGATCTCCATGGCCTCACCAGATAACCCGCTGTGAAGGCCCCTGTTCTAGCTAGGATTTCCCTTTGTGCAATTCTGGCTCTGTTCCCCCACCAAAATCCACATGCTCTTCACACGAGAAACACAGCCCGTGCTGCCAGCCAGCCCCCAAAGTCCTTAACTCGCTGCGGCATCATCTCCAAAGCCTACGGGCCAGAGAGCCACATAAACATCACTTAACTTGTGGCACAAGATCTGGCACAGTCAATCCAGGACAAACTGCCCACCGCCACACGTCCGTGAAGTCCCACACAAAGGAGACACCCCCAGCACCCCTTTGCAAAACGGAGAAATAACAAGGAAACAGGGACAGATACCAGGCCTCAAGCAAGCCCAGAAGCCAACAGGACAAGCAAAATGAAATCTTAAGTCCAGATGATAATCTCTGACTCAGTGTCCCACTTAATGGACACATGGAGGCAGTGACACGGCATTGCAGTCTTCAGCCGGCCACACTCCAGGCCTGGGACTGCCTCTTGTATGCCACCATCACCAATTCTGGGTGTCCAGCCTGGTTTGGGTGCTGCCAGTTTCCACCTAGAGGGAGTGGAGAGTGGGGGTGACCTGCGCAATGCACCCCATGCCAGAAGTCATGCCTGGGATGGTCAGATGGTGCAGAGCAGGCCCACACTAAGTGGTTGGATATCACCTGGTCCTTGCCCTCTGGCCTGGGAGGAAGGACAGCTTGCTCTGATGACAGGGTCAACCCAAACTAATCTCATCAAATTTGACCAGCTGTTCTACTTCCCTCCCAGCTTCCTGCTTGTGGTCAGGGAAATAAAACAAATAAACCGAGAGAGAGAGAGAGAGAGAGAGAGAGAGAGAGAGAGAGAGAGAGAGAAAGGTGCTAAGTCCTTCTGCAACAGAATCTTGCTGTTTCAGGTCCTAAGTTTGGAAATGGATGTGAAGCAGGGTTCACATGAAAGTGCTGAATGCCCTGTGAACATTCTCTTCTGAAAGCACTGGACTCACTACGAAACACTCTAGTGCAGAGTCAACTGCCACCAGCACCCAGCCTCTCCTCCAACTCCCTCAGCCCAAGATGTCCTTGCCTGCCCACACACGAGGGCACTCACCGAGCTGAGACAGTGCAATGCGCGGCCCTGCGCGTTTCTGATCACCCAGACTCCAGCAGTCACTTGCTTCTCCCACAGCTAAGATGGCCAGCACTGCCCAGTGGTGTTCAGATTAGGACAACTCCAGGTCTGCAAAGAATGTAACTACCACCAGCACGTAGCCCCCCAGACCAAATGAAGCCCACCTGGCCATCATAAAAGCTCCCTCTCAAAGGAAAGCCACAAACACTGCCAACCAACCAGAAGACTTGGACATAAGCTGGTCATATGCCTCCCACGTCCAATTTCAAAGCATAAAGCTTCAGAGCCTTTACCGATAACCCTGTGGGGATACCGTGAATCATGAGAAACCAGCTGTCTGGCTCCTTGCTCTGTGCCCAGCAAATAAATACTTCCTCCCTTCCACTGCCCCATGGCAGTGACGGGCTTCCTGTGCAAACAGACCCAGGCATGCAGACGTTTGGTCCACAACAGGAGGAAAATAAGGTGGCATGAGATGACCGGCTGCCCAAGCAAGGTTCAGACTCATCCTGAAACCAAGTGAGAAACACTCCAAGCTGTCCTGATGCTAACACTCTGTTCAAGAAATGACAGACTGGCCACCGACAGGGAGACTGATGGACCCTTGAACTACACCAAGCAGCTGCAATGGATATTCAAGGGCTACTTTAAGAGGCCAGTGTTATGGCACAGTGGACTAAGTTGCCACCTGCAAAGCTGTCAACTCACAAGGACCCTGGTTCAAGTTCCAGCTGCTACACTTCACGTCCAGTTTCCTGCTAATGTACCTGTAAAAGCAGGAGATGAGCTAAGCGCTTGGACCCCTGCCACGCATGTAGGAGACCCAGATGCAGATCCAGGCTCCAGGTTTCAGGCTGGTCCAGCCCAGCACAGTGAAAAAGATCTCTGTCTTTCACCCTTTCTCTGTAACTCTGCCTCTCAGATAAATAAATACATGCATCTTCATTGTTGAAGAGTTACTTGCACAAGAGAATTGAGACAGCCTTCCAGATAACAAGTCACAGGGCAAGGCAAACGGAGCAAGGGAGGGGCCGGTGCCTCTCTGTGCCGTAACTCAGCACACCCTGGAAGTGCTAACCTAGCACAGCGGGCCAGCAAGGAGACCTTCAGACCACAGTGTCTGCTGAGACATGACCAAAACCCTAAAGCAGACGCAGATCCCCAGCTGAAAACAGAAATGCTGGTTCCCAGACATTAGCTCCAATTCTCCAGGCACTGACACCTGCCCCTGCCCGAAGCTGATTTCCCCACAGAGAAGCTTGGCCAGTGCGGGGCTGCTTTGTCCATGGGGAGAGATGCAGGGTGATGCTCGGGCTGAGCGGATGAGAACGCCTGGGGGAACGGGGCTCGTGCCTGAGCCCTTCCCTCCTGTGGCCCAGGAGACCAGACCTCAGCATCTACTGGGTCCGGCTGGACCAGCACAGAAAGGGCTTGGTGGCCTCAGGTCCTGCTGGGAGCTGCTGGGGAAGGTGGTGAGCAGAGGCAAGCGTTGGGGCAGCAGGCCTTGGGAGAGCACGTGGTCGCAGATTCTCCTCCGCCAGGGGTCTGACCTGCCTTGCAGCCCCCCAGCTGCTGCCTCCCTGTCTGCCACCTGCATGTGCTGCCCTGAGCCCACTTCCCAGAGGATGCTGACACGGGCGGGTGGCAACCAGCCTTCCTGACCAAACTGCATTGCCAGCTTGGTGTTCTCTCAGCCTTTCTGCTCAGCGCACAGCTAGCTGGGGCTGACTTGGCTCTGCCACCACCCTGGTCTCAGGCTCAGGCTGCTGAGTCCTCACCTCCCACTCCATCCCAAGACTCAACGTTGGCTCAGTCCAAGGTTTCAGGGTTGAAATAGCGCAGTTACAGGAGGCAGCATGAGCATTTTACAAGAATGCTGCTATCATCGGCTCCCTCCTCCACCCCAGGATTCGGAAACAGAAAATGTACAACCGTAAAAAAAGACAAAAAAAACTACTTTGCGTTTTAACTACAAGTGCAGGTAATGTGTTAATTCTATAGAGCATTAACTTGAGCACAGTGCAAAACAAGCTAAACAGAATATAGTACATTTCAAATGAGCACACCTTCTACGGCACACCTGCACCTGCCCAACACGTGACATACCTCCTTCCACCGAGTGGCTTTCCACGACGGGCACCTGGCAGACCTGCAGGCCTTGTGGGTGCGTGGCTTGGGCAGGTTGCTGCAGTACTGTTCTCCCACCTCCCCTTGGGACTGGTGAAGGCAGAGGACACTGCGGCGCTTGACACCTCTGCCACAGGACGATGAGCACTAGGAAAAAAACACACACGCACTGGGTTCGTTGTGTCCGGTCACTTCGGGAACTATGAAAGGAAACAGAAGCATCACGGCGTTAGCATCTCGTTAAGACGATGCCCCACCGTTTCATACTCAAGAGAACCAGAGATCTGCCACCTGCCCGAGACCACAGCACCCATGCTGACCCTGAAAAAGTGCATTCGTTCATTCTGCCGGAGGATACCAGCGGTCATGACAACTGCCAGGCAGTATCCTTCCAGCCACTGCCCTGAGTGCCTTCAATCTCACACGTTACAGCAAACACACTGCAAGGGCGCGCGGTTCTGCAGCCTGACTTCAAGCAACTCCTCGCCGTACTTAGCCAGTCTTCTTTGAGACTCCAATGTCACCCAGAGTGACAGATACAAAGAACATCTGCTAGTTCACTGACCATCACTGTGCATGTCAGCGATCTCTTTGTTGAAATTAAAGTATCAGAGTTCTATTTTCATTAAATACATGTATTGACTAGTAAGCTCAGAGTCCTCTGGATACAGTGGAAGAAATAAAAAGCAAGAATAAAATGAACACTGCTTTGGGTACACTTGCCAAGTTGAGCTCTCCTTCAAGATCCGGAAGAGGAATGCCACTTATGTCTTCATGTCTGATCAGTTCCACGGGGAAGTTGCTCAGGATAATACAGAACATGGTACGCAAGGAATCCTGCGTGAACTGGACCAACGCCGCAGCAGAGTAAGCAGTGCGGGAAATGCTACACTACTCCTTGTGCCACGGCAACGCGCAGAGCTGTGTGGAAGGCGCACGTAACGCCAGCAGTGCCCACGCCCCGAGGGAGCGGCTTTGACTCTGCAACCCCAGAAATCTGTCATCTCCCCCGCTTTTGCACACCCTGGCACCATCCTCTTCCTGGAGGTTGTCTTACTGATGTAGAGAAATTTACAATGAGCTTGCTGAAAGAAACGAGCTTAAACCCCTTACGGGTCCCATAATTGAGACGGTCTAAATGTGCTGTGATGGTCCCACAACTGTTACGGAGCAGTGGGTCAGGGACCCAGTGTTTTCAGGAGTGCTGCTAGGCAAACCCTGCAGTCCCCACAAACGACAGGAGTGTCTGGCCAGCACGGAGCAAGGCACGGCAAGCAGGTGCACAGTGAGCAAGCCGTGCGAGTGGCCCAGCTGGCTGACACTCTCAGGACGCAGAGCTGGCATTGTCTCTTACACAGCTAGCCTTGGACTCTGCGGATTCCTGTCCTCGGAGCAAAGCGGCACAGGAGTACAGGGAAGCACTACGTCTGCTCTCCAAGGCGCGGGCTGCTTGTGTTTCATATATACAAGGTTATCACAGAACAGTGAATGACTGCACTGATGGCAGCCTTGCTGAGTCTGGAAACGGAATACATAAAGGAAGCTAACTTAGCAAAGTGAAGCCTTTCTGTGATCTCCTGGACGGCGGTGCTAGTCCGGCACCGGGTGCTTCCTGACAGCCATGGGAGGGATGCTCGTGCTCCTAGAACTCCTGTGCTCTGGGAGCAGACCCGGGATGGAGTGTTTATCCCTCAGTCACCTCCATGTGCGCCATCTCCGTGTGGTCCCTATTTGCTACAAATCCGAGGAAGGAGCAAGAGTCAAAGAAAGAAACTCTAAGGCGATTTTAATGCTACAATATTTTTTAAAAAGTAAAATCACCGAACAGAGCACCACAGGGTGTCACGTGGACCTCAGGAGAGCTGAAAATGTCACTTGACAGGCCAAGGGAGGATGGGCAGGGAGAGGAAAGACGGAGTCGGAAACCAGTTCCTGGAAGTAGTGGGTCCGCCCGGCCCAGGCCCTCTGACCACGCCCCTGCTGCCCCAGGCCCTCTGACCACGCCCCTGCTGCCCCAGACCCTCTGACCACGCCCGATGCCCCTCCACGCCTCTGTCCACTACAGCCCTCCCTGCACGGCTCACCCTGCCCAGGCCCTCTGACCACGCCCCTGCTGCCCCAGGCCCTCTGACCACGCCCGATGCCCCTCCACGCCTCTGTCCACTACAGCCCTGCACGGCTCACCCTGCCCAGGTCCTCTGACCACGCCCCTGACGCCCCTCCACGCCTCTGCCCACTACAGCCCTGCATGGCTCATCCTGCCCAGGACCTCTGACCACGCCCGATGCCCCTCCACGCCTTTGCCCACTACAGCCCTGCATGGCTCACCCTGCCCAGGTCCTCTGACCACGCCCCTGACGCCCCTCCACGCCTCTGCCCACTACAGCCCTGCATGGCTCATCCTGCCCAGGACCTCTGACCATGCCCCTGCTGCCCCAGGCCCTCTGACCACGCCCCTGACGCCCCTCCATGCCTCTGTCCACTACAGCCAGGCATGGCTCACCCAGACATTTCTGGGAGATAACATGGTGCTGTGAACACACATTCACACCCAAATGGGTCTTTCCAATTCTTTAGGAATCCAATTGTACTGTGTATCTAAGAGAACAGCCAACTACCCTAAGGAGGAATTATATATACTGCTACGTATGAGTTATACATAATCCACTGCTAGAAAGGACAAAACACCTTAAAGTCAACTTCTTCACCATCAGAGAACTAAAACCCTGAAATGAGCAAAGTGGCGACATGCAGCAGGGACGGGGCGGGGCGGGGAGAGGGAGGAAGGAAAAAGAGAGAGAGAAAGTAAGTAAGTTAGTTTGTTCTCTTGGAGGGCCTGGTGCAATAGCCTTGTGGCTAACGTCCTCGCCTTGAAAGCAACAGGATCCCACAGGGATGCCAGTTCGTGCCCCAGCTGCTGTGCTTCCTGTCCCGGGGTGCCGCTCACCACCTGCTGGGTGAGATGGACTGCAGCACATGCACCTGGGCATTCTAGAAGGCCCTACTGGCAGAACTCCTGTCAAGTCCAATCTGCCTTGTTGGTTCTCGAGTTATTCTAACCGGTTAAGCCCCAGATATCCAGCTCAACTTCAGTGCTGTGAACGACCTGGTGGCTGCTGAAACGCAGTACGCTTCTCCGCCAGCATGCCGACCAGCTGCCCGCTTGGCACCTTCTACGCTGCATCGAGCTGGGTTCACGTGCAGCCGTTAGCACAGGACTCTAGGATGGCAGAGACCATGACAATGGGGAGAATCTGTGAGCCCATTGGGAAGGGCCTGGCGATAAGGAAATAACAGGACACCCTCGGTTTCAATCCTTAATCAAGAGCCAGCAGCGCGGCCCCAGCAGCGCCCCCGCTCTGCCCAGGAGCCCCGGCTGGCCAGCCGGTGGCGCCCCAGGAACCTGGGACCTCGCATCCCACAGAGGGCCAGAAACACCATTTTTGCACCTTGCTACACACATCTCCTTTGAAGAGGAAACACCTCTGCTTGAAGAGCCAGAATGAGAAGTTCCCGCAGCTTCTGTTCTTAAACAACTTCCTCATGTTTTCATGGGAGGGAGGGGAGAAAAGCCCCAAACTCCTTAAGATAATTAAGAAAAAAACAAACATATTCTCTCTACTTCTGTTGAACTTCAACCCCGGGAGACAATTAGCACAAGTGACCTGAGGAAGTGCAAGCCCACAGGGAAGGGAGTCCCTCTGCCACGGCGTCTGCGCGGACGAACCCTGTCACGCAGGGCACCACGAGCTCGTCGGCCAGGCTGCCATCGCCACGCGCAGGAAAAGCCGCAGGCGCCTTCTGGCCTTTTTAAGAAAACCTTGGTCGGACGTGTATCTATTTTTGACTATATAAATGTCTGTTTTAGTAATTTTGTTGTTTATAAAATGTAAAAAGAAATACAAAAATTTTCAGTACTTAGTAACTGATGGCTAAATAATAAATCACATTCTTTCAAATCACAATGTTAGTTTTAATAGAAACATTTGAGAAATGGCAGCAGCTTATACACATACTAGGTAAAATTATGGAAACACACAGTATTAAGCATTACGTGTTTAATAAGGGAAATTAACAGTTTCCTATTAACGGAAAACATCGGCAACAGAAAGGAGGTATCTATTACATACAAAACTGTCAGTGATTTAACGACACTTTAGGTATTGACCCAGCGAGCAAAAATACAGCATACACACGAAGTAAGCAAAGCACAAAGCCACAACAATACTGTAAGAAAGCACGGCTACATGCAGTCATTTCACACCAACCACAGAAACGCAGCCAGTAACCGTGGTTAAAATCTTTATTGTCTGTTGCCACAGCACAAGATTTTCCACAACAGGAAGAACAGGAAATATTCTTATAACCTGCCACTGGCGTTTTCAATGACTTTGCCCTTCATATATTTAATTTAAGGCTTCTTGTCATTTGTTGCTACACACGTACTTTCCTGACCGACTGGAGGCCTGGCCGTTCTCCAGCAGAGACGCTGACCTGAAGTGTTGAAGAGTGCTCTGAAACCCGGCCAGTACGCAGCAACACTGAGCGAGGCCCACACTTCACATGCTTTTGACAATAAAACTTCTGGTCACCTAAGCCCTTTTAATATAAAAGGCTGAATTAATGAATAAATATTTTTCATATAATAAAATAAATCCAGATACTCTGATGATATAAATGTACTTCTCACATATAAAACATTATAATAAATAAGTCTGTGAAAATTCTGATATACACATCTATTGTGATTAAAAAAAAAAAAAAGCCTTCCATTTAGGACAAACATAAAGATACCACAGTTCTTCATTAGTGCAAAGACGGCCACTCCAGCCCCTGCTCCTGGACACCCCACGACCAGGGGGGAGCTTGTCTGACTGCCTGGACAGCTGCGCCACCACTGTCCTCCGGCCTGGCGCTGTGAGGCTGAGGAAATCCTTGACGCAGGGGACATCGATGCGCAGCCAGCTCTGAGCCCACGGCGTCACAGGGCAGCACAAGTGTATCTGGGAGATTCTGAGCCTACAGCTATCAGAGCGGATGTGCCAAGGGGCTATGAGCCTTAACGAACTCACACACATCAAACAAAGCACCAAAGATCTCTATAACGACCCGTGAGAAACAGGTACAGCTTCAACATTCTGTGGTTACGAGTTCATTTCAACCTGACACAAAGCACCATGTTCATACAACACATCGGGGTCAGTACACTCTTTCCAGAAGGGTCGAAGGTTGATCACTTCTCCACAGCCACCCTGAAGCCGGTTAGAAACGAGGCACAAACACGGGACACGGCACGTTGCAGAACAACTGCTCAACTAAAACAGGCAAGCCAGACTGGGCCTGAGGCCACGGTGGTCTGCCACCTCCGGGAGCAGAACAGCTGACTCGCAGACACTGCAATTTCACAACGCAGGAGAGCTCGTGAACCAGAGCTCAGGCTGGGTGAAGACGAGTCCCAGATGAGCAGGGCAAATAGGACCTCTGTGTTCAGACACCACTACAATTCCCTCTTGTTAGCCGCCAGGATTCTGCTTTCTTAATTAGAACAGGCATCAAAGCAGCCTCATCAAGAAGCTAGGCTTGCAAAGTAAAACCGTCCAATGAAGATGTTCGGATAGACGAAGCCACGAGACAGAGGACGGTCCCCTGGACGACGGCGGACAACCAGCATCTTTGCAGGGGAGGTCCCACGTGCTCCCAAGCTCCCCAGGTGGACTGTAAACTTGGGGGATGAACACGTTGTCACCATCCCTGTGGCAGTGTCTAGGGTGCAGTAGGTGGCCAGCAAATGCTCAGCAGACTTAGCAAACAAATCCATGAAATTTTCCTAGGAAAGCACCATGGCTGAGGCCCTGGAGTGCAGGCTCACTGAGGCAGGCAGAGCTTCCAAGTTCTCCTACAAAACTAAACTGCTGTATGTTTTTAATCATCAATCACATTTCGGGATAAAGATGAATTTGAGCCTGAACCAGACCTCGAGTGACTCCTCCAGCTTGGGCTTGCATCTCACCAGAGAGCAAACGGAGCAGGTGCCAGCGTTCAGAAATGCTGACAAAACTGGAGTCACGATTTCCCAAATAAAGGAAGAAGCACAAACCTACTCCAGGCTCCAACCAATTTTTCACTAGAGAAAAAGTCTTTAGCTATACGTGATTTAAAAGGTCAAAGGTGATTAAAATGCTAATTTCAAAATTCTATTCTTTAAGTCTTTGATACTGGAAGAATACTAGAGAAATAAAACCATTCATGAGCACTGACTCCAATGTCTGACTTAAAACAATGAACACACTCGCAAACCACAGGAACTCCACACAGTGGATGAGCTGTGCATTCAGATAAATCACTCTAAATCCTACCTTTTCATGATGTAAACAATGACCTTACTTTATATAAGTTTCTCTATCTTTTAAAAAATATATTTTCACATTGCTGAACAAAATAACAAGTTTAACAAAATGAAACAAAAACAACAACCTTTACGAATGTTACTTGGTTTTGGATCAGTAATCGGACAATAACAAGTAAGTTACAAGCACCAACAAGACACAGCCTCAATGTGTCATTTCACAAACACAAAGTTAACATGACACAGCCTCAATGTGTCATTTCACAAACACAAAGTTAACATGACATACAAATGTAAGTAACAAAACAACTCGGGATGAATTGGGGCAAGCTAAAAATGTGAGGAAAATGCTTCATTAAAACAGTTATCTGAAAATTCACATGTAAGAAATAAATACGTACAAAACCATTACATATTACATATACACACATACACATATTACAGTACTTGAAACAACGGATTTTTCCTCCAAACTACCATATGTCATGACACAAGCCAAGATGGCCAGCTGCTGTTGACTTGCTTGAAAAAGAAAATCCGAGAGAAATAAGATGTGCATTCCCAAGTTTACAGAGAGCGAATTAAACAGAACGCATCAAAGATTAAAGCCAAACGAAATGCAGCTAAGAAGAAGGATGCCGTCATACCGACTGCCAGGGTCCCCGATGCCAGGACGCATGATCGGGGCAGGCGTGCGTGTGGCACTGGGCCGTGCCAGCTGGCTTGTCTAGGGGCGCACAGGTGTGCTCTGGGGCGATCCGGCCGTTGGGAAACTGACACACCACCAATCTTGATTTCGTCCCTCCTCCACATGTTTGTGTGCACTAAAAAGAACAGGAAAATTCAAAACCTCATGGCTTTCCATGCGGTCACTACACGGGGACACCTCATGGCTTTCCATGCGGTCACTACACGGGGACACCTCATGGCTTTCCATGCGGTCACTACACGGGGACACCTCATGGCTTTCCATGCGGTCACTACACGGGGACACCTCATGGCTTTCAATGCGATCATTACACGGGGACATCTCAAAAAGTTGGTGGAAAAAAGTGAAATTAAAATAGCTATTTTGGTGCAGAATAACTGAAGTTCAAGCACGGTGCTTTCATAATGCACATATCCACCAAACTGTGAAAACCTCATGTATCATTTTATCTAGTGTTTAAAGATAATAGCTAATGACTTCTTCATAATTCTCCCTGGGCAAGAAAATAAAAGTTTCCATTTCAGGATCAAAACAATGGCAGAACTTTTACAGTTAATACCATAAGCTATTTGAATAGGGTAGCAAAGGCCTATATGAAGCCATTAGCAGGGGAGGTCTGCTAAAAAAAAATCTGAATTACTTAGAATTATATAATATGTAAGCACTATCAATGATTCAGCCACGAAAGAAAAAATGGTAAATTATGTTTAACATAAGCACGAGAAAAGATTCATGGAAACGGATACTACAGAATAAGCTGATTCTAGGACCACCGCAGTAATGAGCCAGGCTAACTCCACCTGCAGCACCTGCTTCCCATGCGGACATCAGTTCTAGTCCCGGCTGTTTCACTTTCGATACAGCTCCTTACTAACGGTCTGGGAAAGGAGCAGGGAATGACCCATGCACACACATGGGAAACCCAGAAGCAGCTCTGGCCTCCCAGCTCCGGTCCAGTCCAGCTGTGGCTGCTGTGGACATTTAGGGAGTGAAAGATCTCTTTCTCTGTCTCTCCCCATCTCTGACTTTTCACACCCTGAGAAAACACCTGCCAGAAGAAAACGGCTTCTATGACTTACGAAACGCAGACCCTCTCTACCTGGTGACAGTGAAGTGAGAGATTATGCAACAATATCTGACAGCATCCAATGCTCCAGAGCCCTGGTGCTCAGGACACCCCGACTTACTTCTCCCCAGCTGCCGTGGGTCCACCGGGGACACGGCCCCGAGTCACAGTGCCTGGACTCCGGGGGCTTGGTGGCAGCATTGCAGGAACTGGCACTTTGTCCATCTTCATCCTGGCAGACCACGACCCTGTGCTGGAGGCCCCCAGCACAGCTGCTAGAGCACTGCAGGGAAGAGAGAGACGCTCACTGTGCATCCAGAGACACGCACACTCAGAGTGCATCTAAAACACACACGCACACACGCACTCAGGGTGCATCTAAAACACACACACTCAGAGTGCATCTAAAACACACACACACTCAGAGTGCATCTAAAACACACACACACACTCACACACGCACTCAGGGTGCATCTAAAACACACACACTCAGAGTGCATCTAAAACACACACACACGCATGCATGCACACACTTGCTGTGTGTCCACACCCTGCCCTGGCCTGCGGACAGCACCACGTGTGACTCTAGCCCCTGCCCTGGGCACACAGGGCTCTCCTGACGGAAGGATGGCAGGGTGGGTCTCACAGGCTCAGCAGGATACGGTGCTGCCCCTCTTCCCGCAGGTGAGAGGGAGAGGAATCAGTCTGCGGGATACAGCTACAGCGAGGAGCGACTCAGCTTAGCCAGGGTCCTATTTTCATGCCATGGTCACGTCCACAGCATGAACTTCCACTGCCCCTTGCGTAGCTTGCCCTGATTTCACACAGGCTCACAAATATTCACAGGAAGCTCTGGCCCCTAAAACTTCTACCCACAGTTGTAGGCTTACTCCTTAAAGGGTTTTTGTTGTTTAGGGTTCCTGCAGCTGTAGGGCCGAGTGCCCATGGGGTTTGTCAGGAACAGTGAGATTTGCCACCTGCACCCCCAGATGCTTCACCCCATAAGGTGTGCGTCTCTGAGTTGCAAACAAAGGCAGTAGCGGACTGGAAGCCATCACACACACTTCCTGTCAGGGCTGGGACTCAGCAACATTTTGGAATTAAATAACTCTAGAAAGCTTACAGATCCCCACGGTCCTGTTCGCCACTGGTCTCCCCCCGCTGTGGGCGGGACCCCCTGGTTCTGATGATCTATGAGGTTGTGGCTTTGGGGGAAGCTCCCATCTGGAGGAAGGCGTGGCTGCCCGTGGCTGTGGGTGGGTGGGCAGGCGGCCAGGCTGCACTCTCGCTGCATCGCAGGCCGTGCTCTGGGATCACAGTGCCTCTCATCGGTCAGCTGCTGGAAGCTCACACAGACCATTTGCCGTGTCGCCTGTCCTCGGCCGCAGGAAACCGAACACTGAGGGGAAATTGTACCGACACTTACAAAGCGTGCACATGTCCGTGATCAACCACGTGAGCAACCCCACGTGTAATTCAACGTCCTACCAGAAACGACACTCGGTCACTTCCCTTCCACCTGTCAACACTCACCGGGGACCAGTTCCCGGCTCGCCACTCTCCGCAGGGGCTGAGACAGGCGGCTGTCTCGGAGGGCCGCGGCAGGTGCGCGCAGAAGGCGTCGTCGGCTGCTTCGTCGCGAGCGTCACGGCAGCTCACGTAGCGGGCCTGGACGCCTCTCCCGCAGGAGGCGGAGCACTTATTGAGGAAAGGGGAGAAGTGGGGGTGTCACTCGGGACCTGCCCCGCCCGCCACATGCCCAAACCATCAGAAAGCACACATTTCAGCTGCTCTGGCATGATATCATTTCAAAGTCAAATACAAGTGATGCTGTAACATTTCAGCTGGGGTAGGGAACCTTTTGTTCACATTAAGGGCCATTTGAATATTCATGATGTCATCTGTGGGCTACTCAAAATTATCAACTTAAAAGTAGCCAGCTATATAGACAGGTTCACCAAATTTCTAGCCCCCTCTTTGATTGCTGGGGCAAGGACAGCCCACACAGTCCTGGAGGCCTCAGCCCACAGCTGTATGTTCCCCACCCCTGTGCAACCACAGAGATTCCCAAAAATAAAATACAGTAACTGAATGAATACCATGACCTGAAATAATGTTTATTTATGAGCTAAAATTAAAGACACCAAAACATTTTATGCAAGAGAACCTTAAGATATCACTTAGAATCACCCTGACTTAATTAAAGAATATGGAGCATATGTGATCTCATAATTAAAATAAGATTAAAGCAAATTATATACTCCAAATAAATTAAAGCTTTCAATTCAGAGGAACAACATGAAATGCTTGCAGTTTAAATAAAAGCCGGAAGTGTCCGATATCACCCTGCGTTCTCCTAACTGCCACGACAGGAGTGCCACTGCTATCCTCAGTCTGTGGCTTGCGAAAGGGACCCAAAAACTCAGCAATTCCCGCCCCACGGCAAGCTCTTAGAACACAGAGCATGACTCAAGCCTTAAGCCACCAGTCCAAAACCTCTGGCTCAGCTGTACCATGACAACGCCCGCCAGGCCTCCCTGGCAGGAACCCCCCATCTGATGGAGTCACTTACGGGGGTCCAGGAGCCGTGTCGCCATTGCGCCCCCTTCCCCTCGGCAGCAGTGGGCACTGGAGTGGCCCACAGCGGGGGCATCACCGGGCAGGGCGAGACCACACACTCCTGCAGGAAGGAAAGCAGAGCCCAAGAACGTCACCATAGGGATGGGTCCCCCGACCTGCGTCAAAGCTGGCCCTCCCGTCTTCTCGTCCACTACCCACACACTGATTTATACACAGACTAGCGAAAGGTGCTGGTTTTCAAAAGCACAAACAACCATCAGGTGGCAGGAACAGCAGCACAAAACCTGCCATCAGCATCGGCCAAGTCTTTGAAAAAAAAAAAAAAACAGCGCAGAAAGCCTGAGAACACATGGCACAGCACACTCAGAGTCCGTGAAATGGGCAGAGCCGTTCAAAGAACTGCGCCACCACCCAGGTTCAAGGACAGAACCCAGGACTGACACGGGGTTAAGATTCCTAAGGCATCTGAGTTAGAGTGGACAATGCATACAGGAATGAATTTAACTTATCAATAATCTTCCTGCAGAGGTTGGCATTGTGCTGTGGTGGATAAAACCACTGGCAGTAACCAGCATCCCATATGGATGGCTATTCAAGTCCTGGCTGCTCCACTTCTGACCCAGGCCTTTGCTAAGGTGCCTGGGAAAGCAGCAGTGACAAGGCAAGTTCTTGGGCCCTGCAGCCATGTGGGAGACCCAGATGAAGCTCCTGGCTCCTGACTCGGGCACGGTCCAGCCCTGGCCCAAGTGTCCAGTAGATGGAAATTGTCCCTCTCCCTCTCTCTGTGTCGCGCTTTAAAACAAAGAAATAACTCTTTTACAAAAGACCCTCCTGTACCACAAGCAGTTTTGCTGAAAGCCCCGAGGAGGCTGTTCTCACCTGCAGGTCGTGTGGGCGGCTGGTCCCAGGGCACTCTCGCTCCTCCAGCACCGTGCCCAGCAGCTCGTTGATGCACTTCACAGCACGCATCTGGGACCCGTGTCCGCACGTGGCTGAGCACTGGCAAAGAACAGCAAGAGGCCTGAGAAACTGCCACTGATGCAAAAAGTATCAACAGGGCTCACCCTCAGGACGTAGAGTCAATTCCATCTAGGGAAATAGAACACTTTCCCAGCTCTAGCTGGGGTGTGTCTGTCATTCAGAACAGTAGTCAGGACCCTTCAAAGGCATCCAGAGGGAGCCCCGGGTACTTAGAATGAGGTTTCCCTTGAGCTGTGGCCACATGAGCTGGGTCGGAAGCTGCCACCCCTTGCTCACCCTACAGATCCTAGCGGCTTGTTGGACAAAACCCACCAGCACCTCCTTCTCCAAAGACACAGAGCAGAAAATAGCTAACATCTGAGGCAAGCTGTAAGCAGACTGGGGCAGGAGTGAATTCAGCACCAGAGCTGTGGTGTAGACTGACCCTGATCTCTGACGGGCAGCCGGAGTTGAGTCCTGGCTGCTCCACTTCGGATCCAGCTCCCTGTGTATACGCCAGGGAGAGCAGCCTGGATGGTCCAAGTCCTTGGGTCCCTGCAGCCAGGCGAGAGACCCGTAGGTCTCACCCATAGGTCTGGGCCAGCTCTGGCTAATGTGGACATCTGGGGAGTGAACAGGCAGGTGGAAGGCTTCTTCCCTCCTCTCTGTCTTCCTCCCTCCCTCTCCTCACAATCCCTTCTTCTCTCTCTCCTTTCCTCCCTCCCTCTCTCTCTCTCTATATATATAAGTTTTTCAAAACAGTCATTCTTTTAAAATAAAATGTTAACTGAAAGACAAAGGTGTTCATTTAGCGGCCGTCGGGCCAACTTTCTGCAGGGAGACTGATGTTTCCGGAATCCGTGTCATTTCAGGAAATGAACTGCACTGCCTGCATCCACTAAGGGGGAATGTGCCGTAACTTCTGTGCTGTTCTGCAAGTCGGGACAATCCGCGTCAGACGCTCAGAGCCGCACACAGCCCTACGTGGCAGGAAGTCCCGGGGAGCGGGAAGGCGCAGAGGAGGTTCTGCTCATCCACCCTCCTGCCATGCAACAACCAGTTCTCCCAGAGGCAAGGACAAAGCTAGAGCAGGCTAGCAGTGCAAGCTGCCGGGAGCACCGCGCCCTCTGGTGGATACTGAAATTTGACATCAGAAACGTGAAGAGCAAGCCATGTGAAAACCTTGTATGGCCTTGATAACGTCATTTATAAAATGACAGAATAAATTCAAACGCCTGAGTTCTGTGAAGCGTCCGGCCGTGGAGCTTCCCGGGGCAGGCTGGGAGAGCTCCAGGACTGTGCGTTAGTTTTACCTCACTCCACTCGCTGGTGGCCCAGCGGGGGCAGGAGACCTCGGCGCAGCGCTCGGCCGAGGCCCGGGGCAGGTCTTGGCACGCCTGGTCGGCCAGCCGGTGGCCCGCAGCATCCACGCACATGGACTCACGCGTCCTCTCCCCTCCGCCACAAGTCCTGGAGCACTGGTATAGGGGGAAGGGGAAACTGGTGACGTGTGGGAGTCATGGCAACACAGAACTGGAGCCAGAGTGGCAGCTCCGCAGACACCGTCCGAGGCACCATACCTGGGACCACTCTGAATAACGCCATCTCACGGAGACGCAGTCGCCATGGCACAGCTCCCGCACGGGCGGCTTGGGCAGGTCGCCGCAGTAGTGGTCCTCCACGGGCACGGTCTGGCCCTTGTGCACCGAGTACTTCATGCAGCGCACGTCCAGGGACCTAACTCCCAGGCCGCAGCGCGACGAACACTCGCTCCTGCCGACCACATGCCACCTGGTGAGAAGGCGTGGGGTCACTGAGGATGTGTTAACCAACACGGTCACCCAGCACACCACTGCAGGTAAGAACACGAGGCCTGGCGAGCAATGATGGGTACATCACACCAGGGAGCACTACCACACCAGGGAGCACTACCACAACACCGGGGAACACTACAACACCGGGGAGCACTGCCACACCGGGGAGCACTACAACATCGGGGATACACACCACAACACCGGGGAGCACTACAACACCGGGGAGCACTGCCACACCGGGGATACATACTACGCAGCCTCCGATCCTCAGCCTTCCATACAAGCTGAGTGTTTGCTGCTTTCAACGGAAGTTAGAGCATCAGAAAATAAAATGGATTGTTACAGATCTTTAAACCAGAGTTTCCCTGAATTGGATTTAAAGACAAAACCACTTCCAGTTGCTACAAAAAGAAGTTTAAATCTAGATACTGATATTTAGCAAACACCGACAACAAAAATACAAACTCGGGATGTGCTCGCCCCCAGTGAGTTAGCCTGAAGTTGTATGCAACCCAGGGAGTCGGCCGCCACAGCCTGGCAGTCAGGGTGCAGGTTCTCACCTGGTGCCCCCGCCCATGCCCCTTACCTTAGCTCACAGTCCGTATTGCACCTTTCCGTCACCACCTGTGGCAGTGCCAAGTGGTCACACCTTTGATCCGGAACAACCACACGGTCACTCTTACGTAGGCAGGCGACTTTTCTTCCATGAACACCTTGGTCAAGTCAAGGGGAAAACGGAAAAGGAAAGCAAGATTCCCAAATAAATACATCTGATTATTCCATGCTATTAGCAACCTAAGAGATTCAGTAAGGTCAGCAGACTTCTCAGCCAGCATTCATCCACAACCTACGAGTACCCGCTCCAGTCCGCCATGACGTTTGCCACGAGTGGGCTCAATCCTGAACCGCGGGTAGCTCACTTGGTGGGACGGGTGTGGACTGGACGAACCCCAGCACAGGGAGGCGCAGAGCAGGTGCAGCCCAGCCCCCAGCCGCCCCCTCCCTGTAAGGAGACAGCATGTCCCAACCCGCAGCAAGGCAGGAGAAAAACTCCCCACGCCACTGGTCTCGGGCTGCGCCCGGTGAGACTAAACAGCCCCAGCCACTCCCACTCCCTGCGCCTGGAGTCATGACAGGAAATGGCACGGAGGGACACGGCCCAGCAGTTGCCACAGGCTGCCTGGAGAGGCGGCTTGGGATGACAGGTGGTGCCCAGGCAAGGACACTCCTGCAGGATTAGGGATGGTGGCTGCAAGCCGCTGCACGCCCGTGCCCTTCCACAACATGAACCCTGATGTAAACACAGGGCATGGGCGACAGCAGCACAGTGACTCTGCCTCATCACCAACACGCCTGCGCACAGGACTGCAAGGCTTTCATGACAAAGAAGAAAGCATAGCATGGGAACTTTCTGAGCTTTCCATGAAGATTTTTCAGTAAAACTGAAATTGCTATAAAAACTAAATTCTTCGGTGGAAAAATATCATGGAGGGAGGAAGACACCAAGTTGGAACAGAGTCACAGCCAGGTAGCAGGCAGGACATGGTGACAGCAGGGAGCTGCCCTGCTCACAGTCACCGGGCCTGGGCTCCTGGGGGCCTGCCGCAGAACCCGCACACAGGGCACCACTGCCACTCCGAGCCCTGCCACAGGACCCGCACACAGGGCACCGCTGCCACTCCGAGCCCTGCCACAGGACCCGCACACAGGGCACCGCTGCCACTCCAAGCCCTGCCGCAGGACCCGCACACAAGGCACCGCCGCCACTCCGAGCCCTGCCACAGAACCCGCACACAGGGCACCACTGCCACTCCGAGCCCTGCCGCAGGACCCGCACACAGGACAGAAGGAAAAGGACTGAGGAACGCTCGAGACGCCATAGAGCATATCCACAAAATGAAAACAAGAAGTTGTGAGGAAAAAATTAAGATAATCAATGAAACTGAGGAAAGAAATGAGGAAATGAACCCTCAGTTTAGAAAGCTGACTATCTCCCCCCAAAAAATTGGAGAAAGAAGAGAAAAAAGGGTAAGGAAACTGGAAAATTGAAACTGATAATATTGATAAATACACTTGAAAAGCTGGAGACAGAAAAATCTATCATTCTGACCAAGACTGCAGGGACGAATAACTTACAGTACATAATAAGACAAATAAGCGAAGCTCCAGGAAATCTGGCTTCAGTGGGAACGGAAAATCGCACCAAAACAAGAACCAAGACCCGGGTGGGCTATGTGGCTAACGAGGCAGTGGCTCCTGTCCCTGCGTGTGACTGAGCGACCCCGGGCTGTGTCCTTGTGGCACTTCTCGCTGTTCTGCATCCGGCATCGTCACCCGGGAGCTCACCACACTCAGAAATTCCTGACTCAGTTGCTGTTTTGATTTTCCCAGCTCCCAAAGCACATGCACAGCCCAGCTTCCCCAGCGGGTTCTGCAGGGCAGCCCCAGGTTTCCAAGCTCCAGCTCTCTTATGAAGGGGCCACCCAGCCCTCTGTCAGAGTCCTTCCTGCTCCCGTGCTGGCGGAGCTCCTCAGCCCTGCCTCGTGTACCACTGTGCTTGTCCACTGATAGGCGGCCCTGACGAAGCAGCACCCGCTCCCCGTCACTGTGGGTACCGCTGCCCCCGTGCCCGTGACCCCTGAGGGCAGCTCCCAGACTTGGGTCTCTGCCACTGCATAGCAGGTACCTTGGCACATCTTGGAGCAGTCCTGCCACGGCCCGTAGGAGTCCCACACGAACGCCTCGCTCTTCTCCTCCACGGGGATATTGAAGGAATAACGGACAGCGGGGTTGTATAAATTGCCCACACATAACACCTCAATAGAAATGCAGGGAAAAAAACAAAATTCAATACAAAAGACACATCCTTAAGACACCAACAGTATACTGAATAACCCACGCTAGGTGTGTAAACAATGAAGTTTACCAGTATGATCAAAACTAAGTCTAGTGAGCACTGAGAACTTACTTGCAAAACCAGCTCCTGCCCCAGCCTCTCGGTGCTGTTCAGCCTCTCTGTGGGGTTGTTGGAGCCGCTGTACTCAAAAACGGTCCCCTGCACGTTGATTGCTGTCTTTGCCATAGTTACAACAAAGTTCCCATTCAGAAGAAAATTCCCTTGAACATCAGATAATGCTGCCAAGGAAAAGCAACCATATGAGCATTGCACTCAGTCAGCAATGAAGAGCTGGCTTCCTCAATGGTGTATATTCAAATCCCTCTGTTTGAAACTTTAATGAATGCAAATGTGCTCCCCTACTAAGTTTGGCCAGCCCAGGGCCAGCCGGGGCCACGGACCAGTCCCACCCAGTGTGAGCGGACGCTGTGAGCTAGGCCAGGGCACTGCTCCCTGCCCAGGGTCCCCCTGGGTCAGCCCAGGGCCAGCCGGGGCCACGGACGAGTCCCACCCAGTGAGAGAGGACGCTGTGAGCTAGGCCAGGGCACTGCTCCCTGCCCAGGGTCCCCCTGGGCCAGCCAGGGCCACGAACGCCCACCCACCGCACGCGACCCGCGCAGTACCGAGGTAGTTGTCGTCCTCTGCTGCTCCAGAGTAGCTGTGCTGAAGAACCTCAACGTTTGTTGCTCCCATGGGGATCTTCACAATGTCATTATAACCTGCAATGGAATTGCACACGCATGAGCTTTCACAGAAGCACAAGGCCTGCAGCTGCTGCTGCGATGGACCACGGAACAGGAACCACGTCGGTCTTCACTTATCTTCTTACAAATGATGCTGTGGTTGCTTCCTGTAAATCAGTATTTTATACAGATTAGTGAGAAGAGAGAAAAACGGTACTTCCCACATTCTCATTCTAAAATTCTTTATACAAAATGGTAAATGCTAACATGTTCACATTTATTTTTAAACTAGACTACTATTCTTATATTTTGTATGTTTTGATAAATGAAAATTTCAGATGTTATTCACAAATCCAGGATGTCAAATAATCCATCCTTGTCGGACTATGTTCCTACAGACTCCACAATTAATAGCAAAATAAAAAAAGTCTTAATTTCACTACTAGAAATAATCAGTGGATAGTCTTAAGCTGGAAATCTCTACATCTGTCCCCAACATTTGACATTAGCTTTAAATCTACTAATAAACTTGCTATGCTAAGAGCACAAAGTTTGAGTGAAATGTAAGCCCTGTTTTGTTCCACGAGGCCACGCCGGCACCAGCGGCACTGCCTGACGGGGAGGGCGCGTCCACACGGTCACAGGGGAAGCAAGAGCCACACCGAACATGCTAGCACTCCACTGTAGTCCAAACGCTGTATTATATTATGCAACAACCTTCTTTTATTTGGATTTTCCCATTTCATACATGAAAAGAGAAGCTGGAATTTTTCTCCAACACCCACTTTGACAAGTGGAGAATTGGAAAGAGCTGGAATTCTCCACCCCCTCAGCTCCGCCTGTTTTAGAGCGACCTAAGATGTGGTGTTTCCAACACAAAGTGGTGGACGGTCTGATGACGTCCACTGGCGGGCGGCCTCAAGTCCCCAGGGCACATTTTCATCTCACTTTTTTTCCCCACGAGAAACCCTTCCCGCGGACCACATGGGTGTTGGCTTCTTTGCCTTTTCGCAAACCAGCAAGTCTCCACCGGAGGCCTTCGACGTCCAGCAATGAAGAGGACCGACCACCAGGGGGCAGAAGTGAGACCAAGGACACTCGGGCCTTTATTTTTTAATTTTTAAAAAAAGATTTATTCATTTGTATTGGAAAGGCAGATTTACAGAGAGGAGGAGAGACAGAGAAGCAGATCTTCCGTCTATTGATTCACTCCCCAAGCGTCCACAACGGCTGGAGCTGAGCCGACCCAGAGCCAGGAGCCTCTTCCAGGTCTCCCACACGGGTGCAGGGTCCCAAGGCTTTGGGCGGTCCTCAACTGCTTTCCCAGGCCACAAGCAGGGAGCTGGATGGGGCAGCCGGAATTAGAACCGGTGCCCATATGGGATCCCAGCATGTGCAAGGTGAGGCCCCTAGACTCTAGGATACCATGCCGGGCCTTCAAAATGTTTCTTAAAAAAACGTTAAAAACATGGGTCTGATGCTATAGCATTGCAGGTAAAACCACTGCCTGCAGTGCTGCCATCCCACATTGGCACTGCTTCAAGTCTCAGCTGCTCTACTTCCACTTCAGCTCCCTGCTGGGGCACCTGGGAAAGCAGTCAAGCATGAGCCTGGGTCCTTATGTCCCCGCACCCATGTGGGAGAGTCCCATGAAACTCCTGGACCATGGCTTCCGATGGCTCAGCTCTGGATGCTGAGGTCGTTTGCAGCACAAGCAGCAGATGGAAGAACTCTAACTCTCCCTTTCTAACTATGCCTTTCAAATAAACAGACAAGTATTTGAAAATGCATGTTTGCTTCTAGGAAAGATTTGAAATGGTATGCTTTATTATCATTAGATGAAAAAAAATGCCCACAAAACTTCTAGACAGAAAATACTGAGGTAATCTCCTAAGAATGTTGAAGGCAAGTGGAACCATGGACAAGGGTCACCATAGCTTCCTGTGACCTTGACCCTGCCTGCAAAGGCAGACGTCACTCTGACCCACAGGCCGGCAGGTGCCCCCTTCGTCCATCCTCAGTCAGCACAATCAACACAGAACATCAGACGGGTCACAGGAGCCGAGCAGTGGAGACACGGACAGCAGGCTTCCTGGGCACCACAAGGAATGTCCATCAAAGACCTCCCTCGCTCAAGGAGCCATGCACACACAGGACTTTTAAGGGTCAGTTTTGTCTTGGAAAGGAGAATTCCTGAGTTCAAGGCTGCATGTGGTGTAAGATTTATCATTTGAATGTAGGAAATGGCTAACAGCCATGGCGTGCACACCTTCACTGCACACAGCACTGCTGCAGGAGCCGGACAGACGGCAGCGGAGGAGGACGTGCCACCGTCTCCACAGAGACCCCGCTGAACACGTCTGAGCCTTCTCTGGAAAGTCAAGCCAACGAGCTAAGGGGCCAGAGCATGAGCCTTGGGGCAGTATGACCAGACAGTGAACAAGCAGGAAGAGCTGACTGCGCCACACCCCAGCCCCAGCTCCAAGCAGCACAGCAGAGAGCCCCACCACCTCCTGGGGCAGGAAGGAAGACACTCCAAGGAAGGACCAAAGGCCCACGAGGATGGGCGCCTGTGCCCAGGGGATGGACTCAGTCCATGCACCACTGCCGGATCACGGGGCTGGAGTGCAAAGGGCTCAGTGACTGAGACCCAGCACTGCCCCGCTTACCGTCAGTCTGAGTGGCCTAGGGACAGCCACTGCCAACCCTTCCTTAACCTCAGGGTTACGACTTAACCACAGAGAAGAACAAAATGAGAGCTCAGGGATTGTCTTGAAGCTCAGAACCAGTCTTGCCATGGTGACCAAGCCGAGCTCAGGGGCCCTTTTCCCCAGGTCAGAACCGTGCACAGATCCTTCAGGCCAGCTCTGGCCTCAGGTACATCCCTGGAAGGACAGATGGATGGCCTGCCTCGCCACCATCCACAGGGGTGCACAATGCCAGCCCTTTGTGACTGCAGGACTAAGCTGCAGCCCCCGTTCATGCCAACCTGAGATGCCAAGACGTCCTCCCCTCCCTCGCATCTGTACACAGATTTCTTGGCACAAACCTTGCAGGCCTAGAGACAGCGGGAGGAGACTGTCAGATAACTGAGGCAGAACCTGCTAATGCAAAGCATTGTCCCCAGAAACCTACCGCTTAGATATGAAGGGCAGGGAGAGACACGGCCAGACAGAGCTCAGGGAGCCGACCCCACCCAGCCTAGGCGACAAGAAATGCTCAAACTGAACAAGAAAACATCTCAAGGTGGAAAAATCAGTGATAAAAGTGACTACTCGTGTGAAACCAGAATGTTCTAATAACGCAAGCACGGTGTATGGAACCATATGTTAAGTATGAAGACCAAAAAGTCACACAGTGTTGCCAGGTAGGCAATATATAAAGATGTGAAATGAGACACGAGAAACTTAAAAAGCAGGGAAGGATGAAATACAGTACAAAATTTTTTTCTAATTAGAATTTTTCATCTCTTGCTTTTTTTCTGTCTATATAATCAATATGAAGTTGCTATTCAATTAGAAGCTTTTTTTTAACCAGAAGATTTTCGCTAAGTTTCATAGAGACAAAGCCAAGTATCTCTGACAGACATACAAAATAAGTAAGGAGTCAGTAGAGCAAATCATTCAGAAATGAAGATTTTTAAAAGACAGAAAAATAAGAACTACAATAAAACTAAAAGATAAATATCAGCGTTATCAATAATAAGACACTATCAATAATGCGCATTGTGAGGAGTTAGTGAACACTGCAACCCTGTCCCACCCACTCGCTCTAACGTCATGGCACTGCACCTGGCAGCCTCTCCACCAATCCCTCACGGCCCTGAGACGCCCCTGCGGTGCCGCTCTGTTCTCTTGGCGTGCTGCCCCTTCCCCTGCCCAACTGTTCCCCTGGCCCTTTCGTCTTGCCCCACCCTCCCACCATGGCAGGAGGCGTCCCCTTCCGTCTCTCTCTGCTCCCATCCCTACCCTGCTGGGATAAAACACCTCCTAGGTGCCTCACTGCATCTCGTAGTTTGGCTTATTGCGGCAAACTTATCCCGAAAAGAGTTTAATTGCAAAAAAGGACTAACACCCATACATAAAAGAATTATATTTTACAAGTCAAAGACCTAGAGGGACTGAACAGATAAATCGGGTAAAATAGGGAATCAGAAACAAGCAAGCTTACCATAGCGAGCATTGTTGAAGACACCCGAAATGGTCCTGCAGGAGGAGTTGTCCCCACCACACACTCCACACTTGTCCCTCTTGGTCTTGGAGTTTAACACGTGGTCACAGCCAGCTTGCTTCAAAACACAGTGATGTAAAAAGGATGCATTGTAAGCCTGGTGCCTTAGCAACATTGTATTCAGGACAAAAGGACACATAACACACACTAAAACAACAAATATTCTTTCAACCAACAAGAGACCATTCCTGTTTCAAAGGACTGTCCCCTGGCTTCTCACACCAAAAACAGGCTCCCTCCCAGACATTCTGATTAAAAGTCATTGGAGATGAAAAACCAAGAATCCTCACTCTAAGAATTCCAGTGAGACCTATTCTTGTTACCATTAAAAAATCACTCGAGTGTAACTAGAGGAGACAAAACTAAGAGCATTTTAGCAACACCTTAGAATATTCCCCAAAGACGAAAGACGTCATGCAGAATGCCTTTTGTAACTCATCATCTAAGAACTCTGGGGACAAACTCAGTTGACACAATGACACAACTCCTTTCTACAAAATCAGTGCAAAGCATAACATGTTTATTACATTGAATGAATAAGTGAATTAGAAAGTAAATGGTTTTTTGCAAGTATTTTAAAACACAAATGCAGCTGTTGTGCGGGCCTCATCTTTTCAGAATGGTCCCCCAAGTTTAGTGATCCCCAAATAAAGTTTCCTAATCCCCAGGAATTCTATACACAAAACACCTCCAAAATGGACATTCTGACCAAATGTTTCCTTAAACTAACCTCACCCACAGAAAATTTCATCATGCTTTTTCATCTCTCTCATTCTCTCCTGAAATCCTGCTGAACGGACAATTTTTTTCTAATTCCAAGAATTCTAGAGATTCTAACAGGCAAATCAGAACCTATTCTCCACTTCATTTCAAATCCCTCTCTGGGTTTCCAGTTTGGACAAAAAGTTCACCTAACTACACTCACCAGTCCCCACCACCAACTCTCGGCGTCCTCATCTCTCTCCAATGGTGCCTTCTTCGACACTCGGCAGAAGCCTCAAACACTCCAGCAAGGTTTCTCTGTGCCCTGCACCGCCTCCCCACACAGCACAGCATCGCTCCTCACTCTGCGTGCCACCTTGCAGATGGCCGCACAGCACTGCATCCTTACTGCTCACATCCAGTCCCCCACCAAACTGCGACCGCCCAAGGACCAGTTCTGTTCTGTCTTTGGGTCTCTGTGACCTGGGAGCCACTCAACCTTATTAACTACACATAATGAATTCTTACAAATGGACATTCAGACACAAACACAGGGCCACCCTCATAGCAAAATGGGTAAGACCACTGCCCGCACGGCCAGCATCCCATATGGGCATCGGTTTGCGTCCTGGCTGCTCCACTCTGATTCAGCTCCCTGATACTGACCTAGGAAAAGTGGGGGAAGATGGCCCCAGTACTGGGGACCCAGCGCTGGCCACTGTGACCATCTGAGGAATGCATCAAAGGATGGAGGATACTGCTCTGTCCGTCTAATTCATCAAGCAATCGAAATGATACCTGGGTGAACAGAAGGCAAACGCCATTCTGAAAGCAGCAGTGTGGGGCTGACTCACCCGGCACGTGCCTTGCACACAGATGTCGCTGGTTTCGACCCCACAAGGCGTGCCGTCTGCAACCTTGTCCCTCAGCTGGTAAAAATTGGTGGTCCCAGCGACGCGACAGTAGAGCTTACAGCGATCCTTCATGGCAACTGCACCAGGAGAAAAAGTCACATTTCGGTATTAAGAGCAAGAAAACTCCACGGTCTCCAGTCACAGCAAGCAGAAGTCTGTTCCCTGAAGAAGCTACTTACCCCCGCTGTACTTGGGCAGCCAGCGCACGTTAGGGGAAAGCCCATTGATGTTGATATGTTTACCGTCAAAATCAGAACACTGCTGCTCTCGGAAGTCTTCCTTGCCTTTTGGACAGGAATCAGTGTTACATGACCGAAACCTCATCTTGCGGCCCACACAGTACTTTCCTCCGTTTCTTGGCCTAGTCAAATTCATTACAGTTTGAAGGGCATCAGTACCGCATCGTCTCCGCATCAACTTGTACAGCTTCTAGGATCTGTGCTATGGAAAGGCAAGAGCGTAGGGGGGTGCTGCAGGTGTGCACCACAGCCATGCTCACGGCATGGACGGACACCAAAGCCTTAAGGGCAGAAGGCGGAACTTATTCCTGACGGGATCAAGGAACTGACAGGGGCTTGTTTTAGAACTGGAATTTTTCCGGCATAGGAGGAGAAGTTGCAGTTAGCCAAAGGTAACAGCAGATGAGGTCATGGCAAATATCTACACAGCCACCCTCACCTGTCAATCAGTTCAATGAATGCTCTGGGATCAGTCTATTACCCGTCTGTATGTCAACAGAGGCAGGGAACAACTGCTCAGAGACTTAGATTACACAGACTCCTAGCAAAATTCACCTATGCTAAAATGCAAATGAACAGATTTTATTCATAGCACATCACTTTTCTGCATCCAAAATCCTCGCTAACAAGGTTCTGGAGTCTTACTGCTACGTAATCTTACCGACTTATATATGCAATGGAAAATTTACTTAATGATCTCTATCAAGTTACTTTCAATAGTCTGATGAGGGTTGAATATTCAGCTAAAGACAGTTACACATCTGCATGACGAGAAGCAAGAAAGAAAACACGACAGATCCAAATCACACAGAATAGCAATGGTCTTGTGACAAAATCACGTATTTTGTCCACAGGACTCGAAACATGTGAAAGCAGATGGACCCTTCTGTCAGGGATACAGCAGATAATTGTCATTCATATGGCAAGTATCACTCAACTCCAAAGAAAAAAATAAAAGTCAAGCAGTTGTATCTCAATTCAGATTACGAAGTGTAATTTCTTTAGGGGTTTGTTTCCTTCTGACACTGAGACAGCCTCCTCCACTCCAGAGCTGAATCTCAGAACCTTCAGACTGACCTCTGCTCTCAGAGACAGTGATGTCACTTGCAGGAGCCTTGAGATAATCTTAGTTTACCGTGACATAAAACAGACATACTCAGGACGGTTACAGAGCCTGCTTGCAATTCTGACTCCACCTCCACACGTTCTGGAACAAGCGCTGTAAGGTCCCCAGGGCCCCCAGCCACCATCCACAGGACGCTGCTCCATCTCTCTGTTTACACACAAGCCACGGTGGCAATGCTAGAAAGAGAATAAATGCACAAAGAAATGGCTCTTCAACATCCAGTGAAGACATCATGGCTATAAGAATACCATAGGTATCAGTGAAGAACAGACTATAAACCATTCAGAAAAAAAACTTCATAATCCCAAATGCGATCACACTTGATATTGCTATCTACTGAGAAACTGCTCAATATGCAGAACTGGAAAAAACATAAATATCGTTTTCTTTTTGAAACTTAGCATCATGAGAGAGGAGTGTAAAAATTAGGCAGTCAAGTGGAAAACACTCTATAATTTTGACGATTTTTGCTTCTATTTGACATGCAGGCTGACACAGAGATCCTCCACTTGCTGGGGCGCCCCGCAAAAGGCTGTGAAAGCAGAGGATACGCTAGGCCAAAGCCAGCAGCCAGCAACCCCATCAGGGTCCTGCTGAACGGACAATTTTTTTCTAATTCCAAGAATTCTAGAGATTCTAACAGGCAAATCAGAACCTGTTCTCCACTTCATTTCAAATCCCTCTCTGGGTTTCCAGTTTGGACAAAAAGTTCACCTAACTACACTCACCAGTCCCCACCACCAACTCTCTCCTGAAATCTGCTGAACCTTATTAACTACACATAATGAATCCTTACAAACGGACATTCAGACACAAACACAGGGCCACCCTCATAGCAAAACGGGTAAGACCACTGCCCACACGGCCAGCATCCCATATGGGCATCGGTTTGCGTCCTGGCTGCTCCACTCTGATTCAGCTCCCTGATACTGGCCTAGGAAAAGTGGGGGAAGATGGCCCCAGTACTGGGGACCCGGTACCACGTGGGCAACCCGAAGGAAGCTTCAGTTACATCCACAGCCACAGTGACCCAGAGGTGGCCCTGGCCAGCCAGGGCTAAGGAAGGTTCCTCCCGCACTGGGGCGCTCAGGGGGCACCGTGTCCGGAGTAACACAGCTTCCCCCTCCGGAGTGACACAGCTTTCCAACCTAGTGAAGGTCACGTACTTCATACATTGAAAATCTAGAAAGGTCTGAGGGAGTAGCATAGGCCCTCCTTGATATTTAACTGAACCATTGCATTCTGGGGAAACTTCCTCGCATTTTAGAGAGAACGTGCCAAAATATTAGCGGTATGATGTTAGTATTCAGTTTTCATAACAAGTCTATGATGTATGCAAATGATATGCGTGCGTAATTGTTTATCTAATTACATATTTACTTGCTGTATCTCACAAAGAGAATGAAGTTTACAATTTAATCCGGCTGACTACGATTGTACTACATCCAACAAACAATTCATTCAAGCAACTTGACGGCAGGGGACAGCGAGTGGCAGGCAGCGAGCTGAGACGTGCAGCAGCCACGTCCGCAGACCGCGTCTAGATGGAGACTCACCCTTGGAGAGAACCTACCATCCCGGGCCCGCAGGCCGTCCCGTCGGCCACCGGCATGTGCTGGGTGCGGCAGCCCCGGTTCACGCCTTCCGTGCCCGTGCACCACAGCCGCCTGCACTGCTTCTAGAAGACAGGACAGGAACGACACAGGTGAGGCCCCCGCCGACCGGCCAGCCCCGCACTGGCTCTGGGGACATGGCTGAGGCCCCCGCCGACCGGCCAGCCCCGGGCCCTCCTGCACTGGCTCTGCGGGCCCACTCCTGCTGCCCTGGCTTCACAGCTAGAGCCCCAAACGATCCACAAAACCCTTTCTACATGAGTTTCATAGTTTCATTCACTGGTTTTTCTCTTGTACCCAAAAATGGCAAAACTTAGCTTTCACATGTTGGGGGGGGGTACTTTATTCAGATGCTGAACAATGGCAGAAACGGATCAAAGGGGAAATATTTGAAATTATGCCAGAGACTCTTTTTTTCCATCTTTTCAAGGTATTTTTCTAAAGGACTTTTTGTTGCTAAAAAGGGACCTTCCGGAGGCCCCTTTGATGCAGAGGCCAGAATGTATGAAAAACACCCACAGAAATACCACAAGGCCCACGGAAGCTCCCACTCGTGACTATAATGCGTCCTTCAACCTCTGAACAGAGGGTCCCGAGGTGTCCACAGGGGCACAGGAGCTGGACCCAAGACACTGTCTTTTTCTGAATTTAAATTCCAAGTTTGTCCAGCTCTCAGCAGGCTGGAAGGGGATGTATCTTTCACAATGAACTACTGTGGTCAGGCTCCCCTCCCCCTCATGGTGACAGCGATGGTCAGGTGACATCCATCACGTGACACACGGGCTCCTCCCTGCACCTGCTACGAAGCACCTTCATTTGTTCACGCAACACGTGGTCAGTGTGTCAAGAGCAGGTGTTGGGGACATGGACGCACTGAAGGGAGTGCCCAGCCGGGCTCACCTTTGGCAAGGCAGAGGAATAAAGAAAACGAACAGGCTGCTGCTCTGCATGCATCCGGCGGACTGGGGACACTGACCCCAAGCCACGCCCCACACTTACTCCCAGAGTACAATGCGACTAAGCCAGCGCAAGTGGGCATCGGCTATTTCAATGCAAACTAGAAATACTCACTCTGCAAAAAATTCCCCAAATGCATTAAAAACAAATAACTCAAAGAAAACTGATCAAAATGCCCTCAACCCTGTCCTTTTCTATTTAAATCTGTGTAGAGTAACCACATTCTGTCAGAGGCCTTTGGAAAACTTTGTTTTGGGCCCAACGCAGTAGCCTAATGGCTAAAGTCCTCACCTTGCACGCCCGAGATCCTATATGGGTGCCAGTTCTAATCCCGACAACCCTGTTCCCATCCAGCTCCCTGCTTGTAGCCCGGGAAAGCAGTCGAGGACGGCCCAAAGCCTTGGGACCCTGCACCCACGTGGGAGACCCAGACGAGGCTCCTGGCTCGTGGCTTCGGATCAGCTCAGCTCTGGTCATTGCAGTCGCTTGGGGAGTGATGCAGTGGATGGAAGATCTTCCTCCCTGTCTCTCCTCATCTCTGTGTATCTAACTTTCCAATAAAAATAAAATAAATAAATCTTAAAAGAAGGACTTAATATCCAACATCACCACTTTCTCTCCAGAGTCACGCAGGCCGGCGTTTTGAACCGTCACAGTGCTCAAACGCGACAGCCTCGCTGCGGCTGTTGGACATGGCAGTGGACAGAGAGCAATCTAAGTACCCAAGGCAGTGCTTGGCACCCAGCAAGCACTCCCAGAGCTTTCACTTTGCCCTCTGCTTAACCCCTCCTTGCCAGTCAGTTCACCGTCCGTTCAAGAGAATCAAAGCACCCTTGCCAACCCGAGACGGAGCCAGCCTCACCAGGTAGGGACACACTTGTGAGCCGGGCCCAAACATGAGTTCACACTGCTGGTTCACGTCGTACAGCAAGCCCGGGGGTTGCGAAAAGAGGCTGTAGGTTCTTCCACTGGGTTTGTCGAGGAGGCACTCCCCGTGGCCAGTGCTGGGTGGAGGACGGAAGACAAGACATCGTAAACCCACGGGCAGGACTGCACCCCAGGACTCTGCACCACATGGTCTGTGGTTCTTACTTGCAAAGAAAACAGCGGTTTTTAGAAAGCAGCTCTAACAAAACAACATCGCTACGACAGGTAACTATGCAAAGCGACTCCGCCCGCCACACGCCTGCCAACTAAGGCTCTGGGTGTGTGTGTGCGCTACGTGTGAGGTGTGTGTGAGGTATGTGTGAGGTGTGTAAAGTGGGTGGGTGTGTGAGGTGTGTGACGCAGGTGTATGTGAGGTGCCAGTGTGAGGTGTGTGTGTGTGCGCGTGTGCATTCAATGCCTAACACACCTGAATTGCTCAGAGCACTCACGAGTCAGAACATTATTCACAAGACACCAGCACGTGGGGCTGCCCTGCCCTCCAAGCTGCCGACCCGTCCGGATGCATTTCAGGGGCCTTTGACAAGGCGGGCCACCCTGTGTGAACAACGCTGGGACTTGCAAGGCTTCTGCCAGCTCCCGCCCCCAGCCCCTCCAGGACAGCACGAGCACAGCGCACAGCTGAGAGCACGGACTTTGGCTTTGAGGGGACTTCAGCCTCAGTTCCCCCATTTCCCAGATTGCATAGCCATGGACAAATGGACACGCTCTCCCCGCCGGGCCCATGTCCCTGCACGTGGCAATGCCATCAGAACACATGGAAGGACTGACTGACTTGGTAAGTGGCTCATAGCACGGGCCATGCCTGCTGGGTGATGTTCAGTCCAGCTGACACGGAAAATGCTCCACTGTCCCAACGAAGCTAATAGTGACCATTTGGTCCTTGGCAGCGATTCCCAGCAGTTATTCGGGGAGGGCAGGGGTGGAAATCCTGGCTGGCTAAAAGGGCACACTGATCTTTCAATGTAATGGACATTCTCGTTGAAGAGAATCAGAGTATGATTCCCTGTCACATACAGAGCACATCGCTGGCATGACTAACCAATGCATTCCATCAACCAGTGGTCAGGCCAGTGTGCCAGCACGCGCAGGGCAGTAACTGCACACTGTGCTTGGACACAAGTGCCCAGGCAGGGCCAAATGATCCTGCTGAATATACACATGGGACACATTTATGCACACACGTTCCAAGGCACAACTTTATCTATTCCCGTAGATCTCACGAAGAGACAGCAGCACTGCTGGCGCTGGTACTTGGTGACAGGGGAGTAGCTTTCTGCATTTATACCAAGCAATGTCGGCTGGTCCGTTGGGAGCTCCAGTGACAGAGGTAGAAATCGCAGCTGGAGAGAAAGTGGGACATGGAGCACCATGCCCTGCTCCTCTCTCAGAGCCAGGGAGAGACCCCAACGACAGGCCAAGGCTACCTGGCGTGGCTGTAGGCACCTCAGGGCCACTCCGAGATGGACAGCCGGGCCTCCTGAAGCCCCTTCCAAAGTCCAAACTCTGACTTCGGAACAGGTTCAAACACACACTGGGAAGCTGAGATTCTCAGTCAGTTTCCCACAATACAAGCTTTCAGCAGCAGGAAGGGTTTAGCTACTGCTTCCTGCACGGGAGTAAAACAACACGCAGGTACAAGTGTTGCTTTGTTTCTCAACATCGACTTGCAAAGTGGAAATGCACTTAAATCGAAGCCAGCTGAACGTGCGCCATCCTGAATGTGCGCCATCCTGAAAAATCCACAAATGTCCAACCTATCGCCGGGCGCACGGGCACCTCAGCTCAACTTACTCGAGAAACTCAGTGAGGTACTTCTGACTACACTTGGACCAGGTCCAGGGACTCGTCTGGTAGTTCAAAGTCGGAGCCATCACGTGATAGGGATGCTTGATGCCAACTTCCTTACACTTGAAGCTGTCATCGTGTGGAACGTTAAACCTGCAAGTGAAAAGAACTGCTTCATAAAGGATGTCACAGGAAGCTCCCTCCGCAAGCCACAGACCCAGACGTTTAGCTGATAATGTAAAATATCGACAAATCACACCCCATCGCAGTTGGTACTCTCAATTTCTTCGTAAGGAACGGGCAGTGTTCATGATCAAGATCGAATCGTTTCCCAGAAATAACTTACAAACCCCACTGAGGCTCCAGAGGTGGGACCACACACTCCAGAGCACGGAAGAGACTCAAGCTTATAGCAAACTCCACGGGAAGTGATCATGCTGCCGCTCTACTGCTGTCTCCAGGCCACGCCCAGGAAAACAGGGTGATGGAGCCTGTTTTAATAAAGGGGCTCCACTCCCATCTGCCAGGCCCAAAGGGGATGATTCTGCAGAGGCTGAGTTCAGAGGGGTTTCCAATATCCCCAAAGAGCCCCCAGGATATCCTGAGAGCCCAAGGCCTCCATCCTTCGAGGAAGAGAAGCACAGAAGGTCTGACAATGCAGGAGCTGGCAGGAGAACCACTTCAACCACAATAAAAGACACTATGGTGTGCACAACTCTCATGGGAGGAGAGAGCTTTTTAATGAGCAAAACCTCCCTCTGCTGCGGCTCTGAGTGGTGGGACCAGAAATGAGGTGGTTTGTACCAACATCCTGAGAGATGTCCAGACCAGAAGCCAGCAGCACCTTTCAAAGCTGCAAGGGTACACAACCAGGGCATGACAGGACACACAACCAGGGCATGGACAGGACACACAACCAGGGCATGACAGGACACACAACCAGGGCATGACAGGACACACAACCAGGCCATGGACAGGACACACAACCAGGGCATGACAGGACACACAACCAGGCCATGGACAGGACACACAACCAGGGCATGACAGGACACACAACCAGGGCATGGACAGGACAACACCGTAGAGGGCTCTGGAGCAAGTTAGTAGGGGAAAGGAGTCATAGACAACACACAAAGGAACAACCATCAAGACAACAAGCCACTTTTAGGACAACGGGATACAGGGCACGGGTAGGCCACTGGGGCTTGTCATTGCTCCAACACTATACACAAGACAACTCCATCGCGCTGTCTCTGCTCAGCCTGGCAGACCCCACAAGGATCACAGAAGACCCCGAGGTGGCATTCTGGGGAGGAAATGTCACTTTTTGGCTTTTTGTGCATGCGCAGAGGTGCACAGCAGTACAGCAGAGGCAGCAGTGTGAGCAGAGGTGCAGCCCAGCTGCAGTGTGAGCAGAGGTGCAGCCCAGCTGCAGCAGAGGCAGCAGTGGTACTCACACGTGGCCCAGCTCATGGGCGATGGTGAAGGCAGCACTGAGCCCGTTGTCTTCACTGACGGAGCAGCTCCGCGCAGGGTCACACAGAGTCCCCAGCTCTGCAAGCCCTGGACAACGTCAAGGGGACAGTTCACCAAAGCGGAAATGCCATCAAACTCACCAAGTAAGACCTGAACTTTAAGGCATCTTGCCATCAACATGACTACCTAGAAACTAACGCAGCACTGGCTACTGATAATAAATAGTAATACCGCATATCTGATCTTATAAGATGTCAAAGAAGGAAAACTCAAAAGACTGTTGCTTGCTAAAGGTTTGGAGGGGAAGGAAAGTTACAGGAAGCTGGGATTTAAATATATATATGTATGAAACTGGGTGCAATTCATCATAAGAATTATTACAAGTACTCAATAATTCCCAAGTGCCTGAGCAGCAGGAGATGCATTCTACATCAAGACAGTCAGTCCACTCTAACAGTGGATGTTCTGCTGCAAGGTTGCATCAGCTGCTATGTTGTAGCTCTCACCCCAGGCAATAACCCTTTCATTCGTAAAAGTCAAACCTATGGACATCTTTATAGCATTGAAGGTTAATGCCCTCGGAATTAAAATGCTTTTGCTGTGTTTTAAGAAAAATGCAAGTTAAGCTGATGAACTTCAAGAGGTGGAAAAAAGCCAGACAAACAAGTTCATTAACCAATATTTTCTTAGCAAGAAGAAAAGATTTCCCCTCTTTCTGACCCATTGCCAAAAGGCCTTCTTTGGCGAAGTCTCCCTCAAACTGAGTTTTTCTTAGTTAAAATCAATACCAAAATGAATCAAGGAAGCATGAAATGGTTTAGCAGTCTTTTACAGCCAATAACAAGGAATTCATCTGATTTTAAACTCGCAAGTAATTTTTCTGGGCAATTCTCATTCTATTAAAAATACCTTCTTTGCAAGCTAAAACTGAAAGACAGGAAAACACTAACCTCAGAACAAGTGTGCACACTTAGCTGCTTTATAGCCTTCTACTCCCTTCCTGCAACACTGAAAACTAATAGCAAGCTGTTGAATTTTAAATACATGGAAACCACAAAAGACTTGATATCAACAAGTTACAGAGAACTCTCAAAAAGTGAGAAAGCATAAAAAGGGACAGTTTTCTTTCATTTCATTCCGTTTAGAAAAGGAAATAACAATGGCCAGTCAATGTATGATCACTCAGACTCAATGGCCGGTCAATGTATGATCGATCACTCAGACTCATTGGCGATCGTGACGCTAATGAAATAATGACATTCGGAATGGCAAAGCGAGAAACCTGAAGATGCCTTATTGAAGATACAATCAAAAGGAATGCTGATAGCCCACTGGTAGTGACATAAACCGGCATTTCTTACAGAGTTGAATAACAATCTACTCCTGACAACAAAGTTCATGATGGAAAATGCTGGAATGAGCTGACATTGTCCCCTGGGAAGGCTCGGATGTTTAACTCCGGGGTAAAGCACTACGCAGCAGTGAGAATGTACGCATCACAAACGTAAAAGCTCCCGAAGAAGTAAAATCAAGTAATTCTTTAGGAACAAATCCATCTGCCATAAAATTCTTACAAAATACACAAAGAATTGGGAAATGGGAAACCAGTAACCCTGCCACCTGCCAGGACAAGCAGAGGCGGCCACGGCCAGAGTTCACACAGAAAGCTCACATGTGGCGGAGGTTCTCAGGATCCATCTCATTATTCTGCATTCTACTCACTCAGGGACTATTACATGTGATTTATCATAAGCCAAAATTATATAATAAAACGCAGCCCTTGGTAACTGACAAATACGGAATTAAATAACAGTGAAATGTAATAATTTAGCAAGACAACTAATCAAAGGAAAATTACTTAAACATTAGTTTTAATAACGTGGTCAATGATTACGTAGGCTAAATTTAACTGAAAAATAACTTACCTAACGTGTCACATTTTTCCTTAGCTCCACAAATGTCTTCTCTAAAAAGAAAATTAATTTTTCACTTCATTTTTAAAATTAAAATTTATTAGCACATGCTAATAGGGTGTAGTACAGAATCAGTAGTAACTGATACTACTAACATAAAATAATGCATTAGTGATCATTTAAGGCTTTCAGTTTAAGATGTTTAGTTTTTCAATATAAACCAAAGCAGGTATGGACCAAGGTTGAGCAACGGGTATAAAATTAAACCAATTTTGTTTTCATTACAGAAATAGAATACGGGGCCAGGTGTCAGTTTCTGTACATGGCTAAAAGCTTTTAGTTCCAGATTCTGGAAAGTTGAGAGCTTTTCAGATAAGGCCCAGGAGGACCTCTTTGTAAAACCAGCCAACCAACTAATGATCCTGGCATCTCTACGTCCTGACAGCACCCACATGCCAGAGTTGATACCTTAACCAAAGGTATTACATGGAGTTTTGCAAAGGTTCAGGGCATGACGCTACTGAAGGCTGTGTCTGTAAAGTGGACATTTTACAACAGCACAAGGTGCTTTTCATAAAAATGAACAGAAGAATAAACCCAGCAAGGGCGGCATGGTAATTAAGAATAAAAAGGGGGGGGGCGTGCTAAAATTACACTCTTCCTTTCTGTGACTGAACCACCAATGGGAAAGAAACAAATCTACTCTCGGTTCTGTAACTCTATTAATTTCCAAATATCACTCCTGACTCCCTTGTTTTACCATTAACATCATACAGAAATTACTTTGTTTAGATCACACCATTCCTCTGCAGCTGAATTTCCCAAGGATGCTAATTCCCAAGGAACTGACTAGTATTCTGGTCTCAACATTGCTAGAACCTTCATTCAACAGTTTGTGCGAGAATTCAAGGCCTTGTGAAATGCCTCTACGAGTTACGGAGTGTGTGGACAGCTCCTGTTACCGCACCTGGTGATGAGAACAGCCGTGTCGTGGTGGGAGGGGTGTGCATCGTCCAGAACATTCTGAGTTTGCTGCCATGAGCAGAAGTTTTGTAGCGTGCTTGCTGCATTGGAATTGATGAGTGGTCCTTCCTACACGACAAGCAGCTCTGGGTGAGGTGGGCACCTCCACAGCCCTCATCCCGCCACCCTATCAGCAGCCACACTGCACCAGGTACAGAGGAGCAGCGTACAGACAAGCAAGGAGTGGCATCACCCCCTTCCACTGAGCCACACTGCGACCTCCCCACAAAGCCACCAAGTCCTTATACTCCAACCCTGCAACCTCAGGATTATAAAAGTAAATGTTTGCATGCATTTCACTGGGTGGGATGGTTTGTTTACTGGCTCGTTCATATCTTTACTGAACTGGCTCAGTTAACCACTGCTGTCCTTGCATGTGAAAACAGTAACTCAAATCTTCTGAAATCATTCAAAATAAAATTTTAAAGCAAGCTCGTTTCTGATGAATTCTGAGATTTCCATATGTTCTATAAAAGCCCAATACAAACCACATTACTCATCTTTGACCCATTTCTTACATGTTCATTGTGAATCACAATTATTTTTACGACTACAATGTTCACAAGATTTCCAATACTTGAGTCCCTGTAGATCGCTGCAACCTGCAAGAAAACAAAAAAGCAGGGTGAGATGCCTGCCACGCGGCTCCTCTAGACGCACACCGAGTCCAGCTGAGAGCCGCGACCCTCCAGCCCAGCTCATCCTAACGTGCAGTCCCGGCCCCTCCCATGGCAGCAGAGCCTCCACGGCTGGGACGCGGGTGTCAATGCCTCCTCAACTTCCCTACTAGCTCAGTGAGCCCAGTGTGAAACAGCCTTGGGAACCAGGATCCTGGACCAGGCTCCTGAAACCAGCCCTTGGAAGGGCGTCACCCACAGAACACTGGGCTGGTGGGGGACGCAGCCTGTATGCCAGGGTCAGACTATCAACAAATCCCGAGCTGTGTGAGTTCGTCTCAGTGTCTACACAGCAACCTTCTCGATGATTCAGCAAGAAATTGGTCCATGATCCACGGTGTACACAATCATGAGATCCACAAAAGTACAAGGATTTACCTGTTTGTTTCCTGGTAGCTTTACATGATCTTTCTGCCCTCAGTGCCCATTTCCAATTAGCAACATGGTTTTGAGTAATATTTGTCACCACTGGAATCTACAGAGACAGATTCATCTAGAACCGTAATACACGGCTCCCAAAAAGGCCCTGGTCACAGTAGACCTTGATTCTCACAGCCTGGGGAGCACAGGCTCAGAGGAGCACGCCCATTGGGATGGGGCATTCTGGACAGCCAGCTCACACTGTGCCTAACATCTGTGCCCAAAGAATTCTGGAATCAGCTTGTATCACCCATGTTCTCGCCTTGCATGCACTGCAATTCCATGTGGCTCCGGTTCTAGTCCTGGAGGCTCCGCTTCCCGTCAAGCTCCCTGCTGGTGGCCTGGAAATCAGTGGAGGATGGTCCAAAGCCTTGGGACCCTGCACCCGCGTGGGAGACCCAGAGGAGGCTCCTGGCTCGTGGCTTCGGATCAGCTCAGCTCTGGCCATTGCGGTTGCTAGGGGAGTGAATCAAGGGAAGGAGCATCTTCCTCTCTGTCTCTCCTCCTCTCTGTATATCTGACTTCCTAATAAAAATAAAATAAATCCTGGGCCCGGCGCGGTGGCGCAAGTGGTTAAAGGTCCTCGCCTTGCACCCCCGGGATCCCATATGGGCGCCGGTTCTAATCCCGGCAGCCCCGCTTCCCTTCCAGCTCCCTGCCCGTGGCCTGGGAAAGCGGCAGAGGACAGCCCAAAGCTTTGGGAACCTGCACCCGCGTGGGAGACCCGGAAGAGGCTCCTGGCTTCGGATCGGCATAGTATCGACCCGTTGCGCTCACTTGGGGAGTGAATCATCGGACGGAAGATCTTCCTCTCTGTCTCTCCTCTCTGTATATCCGCCTTTCCAATGAAAAAAAAATAATAATAATAAAAATAAATCTTTAAAAAAAAAATAAAATAAATCCTAATAAAAACTCTTCCATGGACAACCTTGGTTACTCCAGGGCATCCCACCACACATGGGGGAAGTACCACCTTAGAGCACTGACTCTGATTTCAACGTGAAAGCCAGGAGGCTGACTTTCCTGAGGGCGATGACATCACCAGAAGTCCACAGCTGTTCCAGAATCAACCCTGGAAAATTACCCTGGTGACCTCAAGTGCCAGAATTAAGCTGACATCACCTCTTATCAATGGAAACACTAACGTGACCCAGGCTGCAGTCACTGCACGCTCCTATTTCGAATTTACTAAGACAGCTTGCGTAGCAATAGCTTGTCCCTTTATCCTCAAAACACAGGGAAGAAAGATCACTGTACCGAGGTGTGATTTAGAGAATGCAGTAAAAGTCAAAACAGCACTCCTTTTCCTCTGCAGAAACCAGGAGGGCTTTTAAACTCAAAGCAATGCGACTAGGACGTGGCTGTCGCTAGAGGGCAGAGCACGGGTGAGACGGAATGGCTGCAGCGGTTGAAGTAGACTCCGAGATGGGGAAATGCCTTGAAAAGCTGCCCAAGGCTCAGAACGGGGCACTTGTAAACTGAATGTCAGCGAGATGTTACCTGGGTAGAAGTGACTTATAACCTGTAGTTCAGGAACAAACACTTGGAAGAAAGATGGAGCTTCGGGAAATGCAGAAGTGTGGCCAATTCTACTCACAATTGACATCAGCGTGAGAACGTAGTGCTGCAGATTCTGGCCGTGCTGGCGGGCCATCCTGGCATCGGCCGTGACCATGACTTCCACGTATCTCGGGTAGGACAGGAAGCGCTTACTCCTGGAATGAGCCTGACCCTGTCCCCCTTCCAACGATGAGTTCTTCCAAGGCTGTTCTACACCCACGCCCTTGATATTCAGATCTTCATTCACGTGGCTGTGCTTATCAAGCGAGAGGGCAGCTTTCTTGACTTGACTCTCTGGGGTGGGGGAAGGAAAGAAATAATGCAGAGTCATTACATCGGACCTGACTAAAAGGACTGCAAGGAAGCAGAACAGCCAAAAACAGGCAATACTTACACATCGCTCCCAGTGTGGAACAGCAGAGGGAGAAGAGAAAGTATTAGTTCAGCCAGTATTACACAACATCACCACAAGCACTACTGTTAACTATCGAACCACGCAACAGCTAGTGGTTCAAAACCACAAAGTCAAACATTCATATACATTTTATAAATCTTAATTATACAAAGCACCTCTGGAACTTTCACAGTTGCTTCTATGGTAACAGTGGCTAACAGCCAGACTGTTACTCTTCCATCTGTAAGCACGAAGCAGAGGGCTCACATGTTTAAATCCCTGGTCGTCCGTGCTGATGGAGAACCCATCAGAGGCAGCGAGGACTCATCCCCTCTGCTCTTCACTCGGCTCACTTTCCTGGCATCTGTCTGATGGTTTTCCCGGCAGAAGGGGACCCATGGGTCATGAGAGCTCTTCTGGCCCACTGGTCCTTATCTGCTTTGTGGTGGACAGCATCATGGACGTGTGTTTCCCAGACCTAGAGCAGCTGCAATGTCAGATGGGAACATGAGCTCCACAGCAGGGCAAAGGGAACGAGCATTTCAAGAAGCTACCAGAAGAAAATGGATAGAAATAAAGTTATCAGAGGAGTTTTTCCGACTCTGGGGGGCCTGGGCTCCAGCCAAGCACCCAGTTCCAACTTACAGGGACACCCGCCCTGGGAGGCAGTGGTGATGGCCCAGGTCGGTGAAAGCTCAACACACACAGGAGACACGGGTCTGGCCCCAGCTTTAGGCCCAGTCCATCTCACCACCCCAGGCACTGGCGGTGGAACCAGTGGGTGGCAGTGTTTTCCTCTGCATCTCAAGTAACACATCTTTTAAGTTTTTAATTACAGAAACATCAGAATATCATTAACGTGAAATAGAACATTTGCAAGCCTATTCCAGGTAATTTTATTTGAAATTTTTGCACCAAAATAAACTTATAGAACCTATGAAATAACCCTCATATGGACTCAACAACACCTCCAGGGTGGGTTCTGTCACTGACCCCACCTTACAAGTGAGAACTCCACAACATACATGTATACACATGCGCAATGAAAAGAAATGGGGCACACAAACCCAGGGTGGCCCTGGTAAAGAGGAACGGAGCACACAGCACTGGGCATCCAGCTCTGAACCAACAGCGACTTCACACGGCGGGGAGAGGCAGGCAGGGACCCCCCGCCATGAGTCCCCACCTGAAGACGTGCCACTGGACAGGCCTGCAGTCTTCCCGGACGCCAAGTCCATGTTGAAGAGCGGCCCCGCTGGACAAAGAGCTCAGCCAGGTATGCCCCTGCCCGCCCAGAGCTCTGCCACACAGAATGGTCCAGAGGCTACACACCTGTGGTGCTGCTGATCAAGTAAGGAGTGACAGACAGAGGATGGTGAATGGCACAAGGACTGAAGCGGTAACACATCATAGATACTCGAGATTTTCTCGTTGTTGTTTCAATTTATTTTGCAGATGGAAGACTTTTACAACAACTTCAAAAGGAGACTACATCAAAAAACATTCAGATTATTAATTCTCACCATTGGCAGCTCAGAGTCTAAGGACTCAGAGACGTTAAGTTAGAAAAAAAAAAAAAAAGACCTACGTGGTACATGGAGCTAGACGCCATTTCTGCGAACAGACACAGGAGCGGGACTTCAGCCCGGCAGTTCAGATGGCCACTCCCCACACGACAGTGCTTTGCCCCAGGTCCTGGCTGCAGCTTCGCACTGCTGCAGCCGTCAACCCACACCAGTGGGTCCTGCCACCCAGGGGAAGACCAGCATTGCACCCCAGATCCCAGACCTGACCTCAGCCCAGCCTAGGCCACTGCGGGTATCTGGGGAATGAGCCAGCAAGTGGGAGCACAGCTTTCTCTCTCTTTCTGTCCCTCAAATAAATTTTATCTCTTTTAATCTAAATACAAATATATTCTTAAAATTTAGGTAATGAGCCAGAAAGGTATAAAATTTTATTCCCCAAAGCATGAGCTATACTGAATAGCTGTGAGATATGAGAGAAACAGTAAAAGTAAAAACGCTTTAACATCTTGGTGCCCTTGAAGTCATTACCATGTACAGGGTCTATTATTATAACATCATGAAATTCTTCTATTTTATTTAAATGAATGGCAGAAAGAGAACGCTCCACCTGCTGGTTCACTCGCTGAAAGGTCACTGGTCAACGCCTGGCCAGGCCACCTTGCATTGTCTTCCTAGGCACACCACATGGACAGCAAGTGGAGCAGACAGATTTTCCAGCATGGGACTACAACATGACCACCTGCAGGTTAACCTACCTTCCCACAACACCAGCTCCCAGGAATTTATTTGAAAATATATTTATTGGGCCCGGCGCGGTGGCGCAAGTGGTTAAAGGTCCTCGCCTTGCACGCCCGGGATCCCATATGGGCGCCGGTTCTAATCCCGGCAGCCCCGCTTCCCTTCCAGCTCCCTGCCTGTGGCCTGGGAAGGCAGTCGAGGACGACCCAAGGCTTTGGGAACCTGCACCCGCGTGGGAGACCCGGAAGAGGCTCCTGGCTTCGGATCGGCATAGTATCGGCCCGTTGCGCTCACTTGGGGAGTGAATCATCGGACGGAAGATCTTCCTCTCTGTCTCTCCTCTCTGTATATCCGCCTTTCCAATGAAAAAATAATAAAAATAAATCTTTAAAAAAAAAAAGAAAATATATTTATTTTACAAGTAGTGAGAAAAACAGAGTGAGAAAGAGATGAAAAATGAATAAGTCTTCTAACTGCTGGTTCTCTTCCCAAATGGTGGCAATGACTGAGGCTAGACTAGGATTAAGCCAAAAGCTAGGAATAGGGGCAAAAGCATTCAGGCCATTGTTGACTGCTTCACGTCAGAGAACTTCACGGGCTAATCATCCTGACCCCATTTCCCAGGAAGAAGACTGCAGAGCTCTGCGGAACGGACACACATCCCATAGTCACCCATCTTTCAAACAGACAAGGCAATGGACAAACAAACTTTGTGAGGAAATAAGCAGGGCAGTGTTTGCTGTGTGCGTCTCTGGCCCGCCTTCACGCAGAGCACGTTCCATACCCAAGTTTCATGGGAGCAGTCTGGGAGTTTCCACAGCCACAGGACAAAAGGCCAGTCCAGATCTGACCCCGCCTGTATTCCAAGGAGAGTCGAAGCCTTGTCTTCCAACGTACTTCCAGAGCAGCATGAACATTGCACTGTGTGTCCTCATGAATTCCATGGACATTTTCCATTATGACTCCAGTCCCTAAGTTCTCAACCTCTTGCACATCTCACCACGTGACCTTCAGAAGGGGCACATGGCGTGGCATTCAGCTGTAATGAGGCATACGAGGGAATCTGAGCTCACTACTCAGTCGGTGGCTGAGCAACAGCACGGAACCTATGTCATGTGTCTTTTTTAAGAAGTTCACAGTAATACTGGCTGGTTCCAGGGAGCAGCGGGACTGTGATGGATTACTAGGTTTCAAGTTTCAGCTGACTGCTCAGATGCCCACAATGGCCAGGGCAGGGTCAGAACTGAAGCCAAGAGCTCAGAGCTCCGTCCAAGCCTCGACGCGGGTAGCAGGGAATCAGGTACTGGAGCCACGTCGGCTGCCTTTCCAGGCTCAGTACTGGCAGGTCCATAACATGGTACTGACAATAATTTGTACTTTTTCAGACCTTTTCAGATGTCTTGTTAGGCATGAATTCAAAAAGTGTGCACCACAGTATGGCAGGCTAGGTCCTGATGTCCATATGGGCACTGGTTTGAGTCCCAACTGTCTCCCTGCTGAAGGCCTAGGAAGACAGCCCCAGCACCCTCAGACGCCTGCACTTGGATGGAAGATCCGGAAGCAGCTCCTGGATCCTGGCTTGACTGGCCCAATGCAGCCATTTGGGGAGTGAAACTACAGATCTAAGATCTCTCTGCCTCTCTTTCTCAGTCTTTCAATTAAAAAAATAAATTTTAAAAATTTGCACCAACATAAATTCACCTTGTAATGACTTTTTAAGTAGACTCATGCACATACATTTCATAATTACAGCAAACAGGGCACACTACTGGTAAAAAAGGTGAGCCAACAAGATGAATCTAGATGGAGCAACCAGTGATCACACCACTGCTACTGCATTTTTAATCTAACTTCACTAACTTGGAACACTCTGGCTTGTCTGGGAACAAGACTACCACAACCAGGCTGCAGGTCAGTTACGGAAAACCAACTACTCTCAAACTACAGAAGCCTGGTCAGCAAACAAAGCAGAGGAAGCCTTAGGCGGTGAGACAAATTTTGCCATTCTAGTGTAAGTGAGCCTTTTCTAGTTGGACGAACAGATCTTATTTTAGTTCACAACATGTTAAATGTCCACTGCAGCGTGTCTTTGATTTAAATGGAAATTTGGGCACCAAAGGAACAGACTTCTTACGAGGGAAGTGCATGAAGACGGAGACTTTGGATTCACCTTCTCTGACACCCAACAAAACACGAATCTCACGTAGTTTGTAGACCAGACATTTAACAATTAAACAGGAGTCGAAATTAGAAAAGACAAAAAGAGGATGGATCTAAAGTAGCAGCCAGGAATATCTCAACAGGCTTCACTTGGAGGATGGAAGAACAGCAGCACCCAGGAAGACAGAGATGGAACACTGAAAACAAGGGGTGTCAGACAAGTCAAAGCAAGCTGGTGTTCTGTAGAGAGCACGGGGTGGTCAGCATGAAACGTTTCCCCAAAACAGTAAGACAAAGAGGTGACTGTCCCGGGCAGGCAGAAGGCCATGCAAGTCCAGGGAGAGCAGAGCAGGGGACACAATCCCACAGCCACCTCTCTCACACACACAGATGGCCAGGTTGACTACAGAACACGCCACCAACAAGCTAATCCTTCTTGAGCGTCATCCCTGGCTGAGTTGATGGCTCCTGCTCGGCCCACACGTTGATAAATGTTATACCTCGAGAAGTATAATATACTGGAGGATATACAATGACTCAGGAGGGAATGAGAATGCAACAGACGGGCCAACAAGTCTCCTTCGGTTTTCATAGCTCCGTGACTTCCTCCAACACACATACTCTCCAAAAAATCCTATTTCCAACCTCCCTGTAAAATACAAGCGGTCCGGCAATGTTGGCCCCATGTTCCCAAAGTGCCTTCTGCAAGCAACACACCTACCCACAAACTCCACAGACATCCAACTCGCCAGTGACGGCTCACTGTACCCATGTGGCCAGCCACAACACGAGGGTTTCAGTAAGAAGCCTCTGAACTCAAATCACACCACTCCTCGCTGCCAACTCGGGGCAAAACCCCAAGTAGGCCGGGTCACCCCGAGTAGGCCAGCTCACCCCGAGTAGGCCGGGTCACCCCGAGCAGGCCAGGTCTCAGTGCCCACGGGCAGCAGGATCAGGGCTTTCCTGCCTGAATCCCAAAATGCTGGCCTCTGCTGACATTAAAAAGTTCCAAATTTCTCCAGACAGATGTTGTCTTCTAGCTTATCCCTACAGGAAAGGGAAGCCATCGTATGGAAACATACTTTTACTGAAGAGGCACCTCTCACACTTGACACATCAGTTCGTGGAATCTGTTACAGCGAGCAGGAAGGACTTCCAATGTTCTCAACAAAAAGAAGAGATCAACCTTTGAAGCAATGAAGATGCGACTGCCCTGGCCTGACATTTACACACCGTGACGTGTGTTCAAATGCCACTGTGTCCTCATTACGTTCGGTTACAGTGTGTCAATTAATACAATATCTTTAAAAATCAGCTCTCATCATTCACTTAAGAGAACATGCTTCCCCCACAAAACACACTCACCCACGAGAACGCACTTCACACATGGCACACACTCACCCAAAAAAAGTACATGAAAAATGCACACATCGATTGATTTAGCCATTTCAAAGCAGCATGTTAGCCACAATCCAAACATACAGATAATCCCCGAAGGGTCCCGTCCCCACAGCACGCACCTGAAACGCCACAGGCCCCGTGGGACGGTGCTGGCGCCCTTGTGGCCTCCCGTCTGTAGATGAGATGAGGCTTGTTGTGCGTGTCGTCAGGCTCCCCGCCGTCCACCGGCAGGAGCGGCTCTAGGAAGTACTCGCCGTCGTGCGCCTTAAATGTCCCCATCTGAAAACACACAACAGCCACTCACTTCACTGCCGGCGGTCGCCAGGAAGAGACGGCGAGCTGCCCACAGGCGGGAGGCGGCCCACAGGCGGCCCACAGGCGGCCCACAGGCGGGAGGCTGCCCACGACAGCACCACAGCGAGAAGTCTGCCCGTGGAGCATCTCCACTACATGTTAAGGGTTCCTGCCACCAGCACTTGCTCCTCCAGCGCTCTGCACACAATCCAAGAGGGCAGAGATCAGACAACGGGTGCCCCAGGAGGGAAGCCTGGTGGCTAACAATGGCCAACAGTCTCGGAACGCTCAAGCTGTCCATTGTGCCCTGCACGACGGTGGGTGAGAGAGAAGTCGGTCGTGCCAGGCCCTCTGCTGGCCACAGGCAGCTGAAGCGCTTGGCCAGACAGAGGCCCTCACTCCCGGGGAAGCTGCTACACCAAAGCTGGGCTGAGACCCCAAGCCAGGCCTCCCACCGGCAGGCAGGAAGCGGACTGACCCGAGCCTGGAGCTCCCATGTGGGTGCAGGGGCCCACAGACTTGACCCATCCTCCACAGCCTTCCCACACACTATTCCAGGGAATTGGACGGAAAGTGGGAGCAGCGACCCATGGACTTGGGTCATCCTCTACTGCCTTCCCACACACCATACCAGGGAGTCGGACAGGAAGTGGAACAGCTGGGATTGGAACTGGTACCAGAATGGGATGCTCCCACCACAGACAGCAGTTTTACATTTTAAAAGATTTATTTTCTAAAGACTTATTTATTTCTAACTCTAAAAGGAAGAATTACGGAGAAAGAGACCTACGCTGATCTTCCATCATCTGGTTCGCTTGTCAAATGGCTGCCATGGTCGGGGCTGGCTGGGAGCTCCTTTTGGCTCTCCTGAGCTTTTGGTGGAGGACACAGGGGCCCAAGGTCTTGGATTGTCCTCAGGTGCTTTCCCAAGGCACACGAGCAGGAAGCCGGATCAAAAGCGGAGCCGCCAGGACTAGAACCAGCGTCTATATGGGATGTTGGTGTTGAGGCAGAGGCCGAACTTGCTGTGTCAACACACCTCTGGCCCCTGGTTTTGCATTTAGAGTGTGCTAAGGTGTTGTGGGTAGGAATTCAGTGGTGAGACGCACAAGGACCTGAACCAAGGCAGGTGCAGTTCAGTGGAGGGGATGCCAGCAAGGCATGTGACAGTGAGGGCCTGCCCTGTGGGTCAGCACCAGCAGAGGCCCGCTGCTGAGCACAGAGCGCCCAGTCGCCCTGGGTCGGCTTTAAGAGTCACACGAAAGGCAGATAGCAGCCGCTCACCTGCACGCTCACACAGAAGTTCATTCTAAAGTAGTAATTCACTGAAGGCACAGTTCCCGCTTAGCAAAGAACACCAACAGGGTCACACACTGGGCAGGAGACAGGACCGCAGTGACACCACCCAGCCCCGCATGCATGCCATAAACCTCACTGACATAGCAGTAACAGTGAACACGATGACCTAACAAACACAACCTGCGGGCCAGGTGCCAGGGACCACAGGCGCAGAGGTGGGCTCGTCACTGCACTGCGGCTGACAGGGCAAAAGTCACACAGGGAGCCTCATACGGCAGCTGGCAGCATGAGCGAGGAAGAGCAAAGACAGGGCCAGAGGCAGAGAGGCGGCCCACGAGCGGACGGCCAACAGAGGCAAGAATGAGGGGGAGCCTCTTCCCGGCTGGACGGAGCCCAGGGCACCGAAGCTGAGACAGCAGAGGCGAGCCACTGGCAGGCTGGAACTGTGAAAGCTCAACACAATGCAGGTGCACACGTACACACACACACACACACACACACACGTACACACCTGCTTCCCGGGATTCCACTCCCTGCTCGGCCTCTGGGACCAGCCAGATCTGAATTCAACTACTGACCACATAGGGTAATAGCCACAGGGGTACTGAGTCCCCACTTCCTAATCATTTAAAGGTTCAGGTGTAACTCCAAATACTTTTCAAAATTTCACCATAAAGTATAAGCACATAACCTTGAGTTGTATTTTAACTGAAACCTCATGTAAAGCTATGGAAATGAACCCGTAACCTCGCTCACAAAGTTGATTATAATTATCACATGAAGCTTCACAGCTTTACTATCTTCCCAGCTTTTGCACCTAAAATATTGCCTTAAGCATAGCAGGCATTCAGTGTTTATCTGGAGAAACAAACATTTTTCAAAACATTCTTAAGAAGTTTTATGCTTGTATGACACAAACGTACATGACAGTTTTCTTTCTGCATTGAAAAGTAAAATGTTGGAGCCGATGCCTTTGGCTAGTGCACTAAGCCTCCATCTGTGGCACCAGTGTATGTCCTGGCTGGTCCAGCTCCAGTCCAGCTCCCTGCCACTGGCCTTGGGCCCCTGCGCCCATGTGGGAGACCCTGAAGAGGTTGCTGGCTTGGGACTGCCCAGTTCCGGCTCATTGCAGGCATTTGGGGAGTGAATCAACAGCTGGAAGATTTTCTCTCTGTAAAATATTTAGGCACTTTCAGATAATATGATCATAATTTAGGATTATATACTTTTAAATGGTTTAAAACTTAGTGCAATTCTGTGAGATATACTGGCCAGAAAGTCCTGAAATAGAAGCCTCTAACACAAGAAGCAAAGCTACACATCCAAGACTCTCTCCTTGTTTCTTGGTACTCTCCCAACAAAGAGCTACTCTCTGTCAAGGCTCACTGATGCTGCGCCCACTTCCCAACCACAGAAACCTGAGCCTCCATCTTCCCAGAAAGCCACTGCAACCACGGTGTTGGAAACCTGAGTCTGTGGATTCGCGGAAAACCCCTTCCTGCCCTTCTCAGCCGGCGTGCTGAAGAGGAGAAATACGACCGCACCTGCTGAGGACACAAACAGCCCTCAGATGGCTCGTTCCAGAACCCAGCACACCCACTCCACCAGGACGACAGCAGCACACAGCTTCACTCAACCTGGAAAATCTGCCTCTCTCACGTCTGTGGGTGTCCGGCATGAGAGGACATGGACAGGTCTGCATGTCTGTGGGTCAGAATCTGTTGGCAGGTTCTTCCATCGGAAAGCTGCACGTGCAAGCACGCCCACAGGGAAAGGGTCAGCTGGGGCCGCCCAGGGATCCTGGCACCTCCTCGCCAAGCGGTGCTGGGACACTTTGGCTAACAAGGACATAAAGGCTTGACATGACACAGAACACCAAGAAACAGTGAACAACGCATCCTGCATGTGATTTCCTTTCATTGGTCAGTGATGGACCCCACCAACGCTTCCATGATCTACCCCCATTGGGGCCTTTCTGTACAAGTGGCGAAGCTCTGGGGCCTGGCCCAAGGGCTCCCAGGAAAATGCTTCATTTCACAACTCAGACCGGGACCTGGGAAAGAACCAGGGAACTTTAACAAAGCAAGTGCTGCATTGACTGACTTTAGGTCATGGCGTATTTTAAGCAGCCACCTGTCTGTACACGGCCATTGCAATTTGAATCATGAAAATGCCAATCAAATAGCAAGCACTGTCTTTCAATGAATATTTTAAAAGGAGCAAATTACTTTTCACGTGAGCAGGGATTTCCCAAATGGAGTATGCCAAGCCGCCAGAAAAGCAGCAAGTGATGGCACTGCTGGGCCCAATGCCATCCCACAGGCCGGGGTTTCTACGCACAGGGGATTCCCATATGACTTTTTCCAACATGACTTTGACTCAACACTGAAACCTTCATCCTGAGTTCTTCTGAAACTACATGACAGGTTGTGTCCTGCTGTGCCAACCCACAGCACTCAGACTGCCTTGGAGAGAAAGCTGCTGGACTCTTCCCAAGCCACTTCCAGTCACCAGCAACTGCAGAACACCCCATGCAGACAGGGACCTGCTGAGCCACTGGCTCAGACACAGCTTCACATTCCTTTATCATAGGATCATTATCGAGGAACCCACAGGGCTGATGAGGAAACCCAGCCCGGGTCCTGAGTTTGCACTCACAGGATCCTGGGCAGCTATTTGACCCTCAGGTCCATGCTTCACCTAACATGACACCCTGGTCACCATCTGGACCGTTCTAGGTCTTAGCGTCCACCCCACTCTACCCCCCAGGAGGCCTGGGACTTGGGGACAGGGACAGGACTGTGCAGCCGGAGGGCTGTGTCCATTTACACGAGGTGAGTGTGTGTCACAGACAGGAAGAGAAGGGCACATAATTCACTTGTGTTTCACACACACCTTATACCCGCAGCCTGCAGGAAACTTTACATACCATTTCGGTGGAACTTTTGACTGTGACCTGTCACGTGAGGTCAAGAGTAGGACTGACCACATGTGACTTCAGTGTTAGTGTCCACACAGCTCCAGTATTTTAGACTTGCACATATACAAAAAACAGTAGTCACAACAAGGAAACAGGGGCTGGTGCCACGGCTTAGTAGGCTAGGCTTCCATCACACACAGGTGCCAGTTCAGGTCCTGCTGCTCCACTTCCAACTCAGCTCCCTGCTCATGGCCTGGGAAAGCATCAGAGGATGCCCCAACTGCTTGGGGCCCCGCACCCACACAACAGACCCAGAAGAAACTCCTGGCTTCAGACATGGAGCTCCAGTACTGAGGCCCACCTTAGGGAGTCAGCCAGCGGACAGAAGATTCTCTGTCTCTCTGTGTCTTTCCTTCTCTCTGTGTAACTTTGCCTTTCAAATGGAAATAAAATAAAATAACAATAAAAATAATGAAAACAGGAATAAGACCACAAGCAGCAAGGGTGTGATTGAAGCATATGCAAATGAAATGGCAAATGAAAAGGTTTACTATCACACTAATCCGTGTAGTGCGCTGGGTGACTGGCATGCAGGAGAGCTGGCTGGTGTCGGCCCCCTACCCGCCCTGGAATCCTGGGGTCCAGGAAGAGCCTGCCACTGGCCAAGTCTGGCCCTCAGCCTCTTCCTTCCACACACCTCTCGTGACGGGCACTTCACAGACGGCACCTCTATCGGGGCCAGCTGCCTAAGGCCCCGGGCGGGGGC